GCAACCCGGGGAGCAGCTGGCAGCTGGCCCAGGGCTGACCCCCTGCACCTGTCTGTCTCCAAGGCCCCTTCTTCTCTGACTTTCCAGTGAGCCGACAGCAGCCGGGTCTTGGCTCACTTCATTTGCTGTGACTTTCACTGCTCAGCGAGCCACAGCAGCCAGACCTTTGAAAAGGTCTCCAAGGCTCACAGATTGACAGGAAACCACAACAGGGGTAACGTGCAAACAAAACACTCCCCGTGAGACGGGAGGACGGTTCTCCGCGCGGCACACTGAACTCGTATCATGGAGACGTTTATAGGCCGTGTATTTTAAGTCTCTCTCTGTTTTCATTTCGGTGGTGAGGAGAACTCGGAGGAACGGAGGGGAGGGTTCAAAAGGGAATAATTTTTGCCCGTACATCTCCCATTATAAGAATACTGGTCTCCCAGGAGATTCTTATGTCTGGAGTCCTTCCTACCCTTGATCCACAAGGATGAAATCCTTAGGACAAATCTTCAATCTCCACGTCACTTAGCACCTTGTGCTACAGCCTGAGGCTGAAAAATGATTTGTAGGAGTTGACTGATGCCCCAAGATGATGTTGGGAACACTGGTGAAATGTTCTACTCTAATATTAATTTCAGGGATTGGGAAATATGGCTCAGAAGGGTATAAAGTCCATGGGCATAGAGTGTTTGAGAAATGTTGGCTTTTATTAGTATTATTAGGTGACGATGGAATTAACTTTCACTAGTTTGCCTTTGAGTTCTCAGCTGCTGCTGACCCAGGGCTGAAGCTCCAGGTATCGGGAAACGTATCTTCCTCCTTTTAGTGCCTTTTCTCCAAAAAGCTTTATCCAAGCAACCGTGTGGGATCCTTTGGGTGAGTTTGAATGGTGTGCAGACCTTTTAAAATAACGTTCTTTCCAAAGGAATGCGTTTAAGTATAAATATAACTAGTAAAAGAGCTGTTTAAGAGTATTCCTTTTACGGCAGAAGACAATCGTTTTGCACTGATGCTGATACAAAGTTCCCTTTTAAAATCAATTATTAAAGTGGAATAAATAAGTTGATTTCAAGAAAGCTGTTGTTAAGTAATAATGGTACCGGCGATACCTAGAAATAGTAAAAATTGTGGCAGTGGCATGCAAATGATTGAACTTTGCTCCGTGGGACAATGTTAGTCAACACTCATTTTACGGAGTTGGCATCTCACACATAGTTGTGAAATCTGTGTGCTCGACAAGAGCTTGAGATCATCACAGAACAAACCTCAGAAAAAGGCGGTTTCTGAGGCATAGAGATTTGTGCCTTGATTAGTGCAGTGCGTGGCGGAGGAGCTAGATTTTACCTCGTCTGAGAACACACTGGTGCTTTCTAGTGGTCTGGACCTCAGACACACAAAAGGGGCAGGCTCCTACCTCCCATGCATCAAGAGAGATGCTGGGAGAGATGCTGAGAGACCGGTTCTGCGACAGGATGTCAAGGGGCACCTTGAAATATGCCAAAGTCTTACTGGGAAGAGAATTAAATTGGTTGTCTTTGACTTCAAGGTGTAGAAGCCAGGGCCAGGGAATTGAAATGATGGGGGGGGGGGCACAGATCTCAGCTCAATGAGAAGAAAGATTTTACTTATTTAGGCCTGAATGTCAAGGAGTCTGAGGTAGCTTTCCTTTCCTTTCATGCGGCTCATTGGTGGAGCCCCTTATCTGCAGCTACTATCTCAGTTTTATTTAAAGGGCAACTGTATCACTTGGGAATTTCCCCTCCCCACAGAACACTTTTTACTCCTGAAAACATGCAAAAGAATTAGAAGGACTTTTTTTGGTGCTAAATGAGAAAACATGTGAACCTAAGCCAGGTAGTTTAACTATCTGTTCACCACAATATATATTTTAATCAGGCTGTTAACTGCTCAATAGACTGGGATCTGCATTTCAATCAGTTTTGAACAACATGCAGTAATTATTGGAGAAGTACACTGGTCAGTCTGATAAACTGAAAGTCCCATCATTTCACACTCAGAAAGCTGCTATTAAGAGTTCATAATTGGGACTATAAAGTGCAGAATTATTAGGTTGAAGCAGGTGGAACTATCATTTTGTAGATAGAAACCTACACTGGCAATTTCATATGGTCCTACATAATGTTAAGACATTTATTAACAGTTTTATAACTACTAATATTTAGCCATTGTTTTCTACTAAACTCAAGAGTTCTAACTATCCTGACCAAAGGAACATCGCCTTAAACCAACTTGTAATTCAGCGTGATTTCTTCCGAGAAGGCCCTGAGTACATTTTATCTTGATACGCAGGGGATTTTTCATTTGTAAAGACGTGAAGCCCTCTGGTGTGCATATGGTGAAGTCAATGGTTCCAACCAGGTTTGCCCCAAGGTGAAAGCCACTCCCGAAACCAGCTGGGGAGACTGTGTGTGTGGCAGTGCTTGGAGCTGGAGGCGAGCCCTTTCTGAAATGAGGATTTACCGAAGTATAATCCCAGCTTCACTGCCTGTTCAACACGAGAAACCAAAGCTTCCATTTAGCTGGAGGCAACAGGCGTTTCTCTGCGTCAGCACCAACGGTCTAAAATCCCAAACTAGTATCTGAACGGGAAGGATCCAAACTGAAAATCTAGAGGGCATCAGGTAAATTTCAGATTTTGTTTTTCAAAGGTAGTGAATCAAGTATTTTTGCATCTTTTTTCACAGGACATTCACGTCACCCTGTGAAAATGAGATAGCTCCCAGTAAACTTTTCCAAAAGCTCTGCTTTACGGAACACAGAATTCTCACGTTCCATAGGACAGCGGCTTAGACACGCCTGCTGGCAGATGAAGATATGAAATTGAAACTCCTGTAAGAAAACTGGGGGACTAGGTGGGGGTTCCCCCTCCCTCACATTGTGTTAAAAATTAATATAAATGTAAGCCCTCAAACTTTATTCATATTATGAATATGATATGCACTAAATAAATAAAAGCACTAAAATAAATGCACTAAATAAATAAATGCACTAAAAACCATGGCAACTTGAAGCAGTAGGGGACAGAGACAGAAAGTAATTCCATTTTACCCTTGAAACAGGCTCAGAGTTTAAGCGACTTGCTCCATGCCTCTGGAGAGAGAAAAACGGTCGCAGATCCCCACTACATCCCACCTTCTCAGAGAAACCAGGAAACAGCTTGAACGCTGGTGGTTTCTAAGTCTGTTGCTGTGACAAAGGGGAGTTTTAACCAATCTTCCTCCCCACGTCCCGTGGTTAAGAGCTGTCAGATCCCGTGATTTACACTTGTTCTTCTGCCAGCTGCATTGAGGAAGGCCGATGTGCTTGCTGACTGCCATCTCCAGCTCGGCCAAGGACCCACTTCCACCCACTTGGACTCCAGGACCATGAATAATACCTGGCTTACTCCTCCGCACTGTTTGGATTATCAGGGAGGGTACCAAAGAGGACATCCGATTTGTTGGGATCAAGGTGCTGAAGTTCTAAGCCCTATGAAGCCTAATCGATCAAGTAGATAAATTTGTTCTTTGATTCTCGAGAGACAAGAGAAAGATCCCAGGCTGTCATGTAGAAAAGCAGGCTGTTCCCACCCATTTGTTCTTTGATTCTCGAGAGACAAGAGAAAGATCCCAGGCTGTCACGTAGAAAAGCAGGCTGTTCCCACACAGCATCGTTCCTTCTCCCTCTCGGTCTCAGGAGGCTGGACACTGGAGTCTCGCAGTCAGTGAATTCACTACAGATTAGGTCTTGCCCACGTGGAGAAGTTATTTCCATGTGAGCAGAGGGCCTATATGTTTTATTGAGCCACACCTTTTCCGAATGACCGTCATAAATTTCTTCAAATTGCTCAGACATATCTACTTTAGGAGTAAATGACTACCTAATGTGACAATCTGGGTGAGAAAGGACTGTGCAATTTCATAATGGCCGAATGACCACGCCATACTGACCCCGTGTTACTCTAACAAAATTATTTGCTTGTTTTGCATATAAGTATTTCATGCATTAAAAACACTGAGACTTTTTTCCTTTTTTTAAAATTTATTTATTACGTTTGGACCTTTAAGAAACATATACCATTAGATATACCACTATTTAGTAAAAATCTACTCTAGTTTTTGGGAAGCACACACGTCACAAACCATCTTGCTTCTAGTCTCTTTAGGACTTTGCTAAGTTTATCAAAAAGGTAGGCTCTGATCTGTGGGATCCTGAGCCTTGAGGTTTTGAATGTTTTGATTATAGTAAAACAATTTCAAGTGGCTGAACTTAATTCCCAGCTGTTTTTCTCCCAAAATGGGCCAATCATTTTGAAGTTATACGCTCCCTTACAAGAAGATTCAATTCCTTAAGCTTCGTGATCTGTCTTTGGAAAACGTGATAAAAAAGGAATCTCTTTTCTGTACAGTAAGCATGAACTGACCAGAACGCACCCAGCATCAGCTGAAACAGGAAGCAGGAGAGCATGTTTGTGCTCACTCAGCGACTAGCTCAGAAGCTACTACTCTATGGAGGCCACTTCTCAATCCACACGACCCAAGTGTAGCTGTGGTGCACTCGACACTTGAACACGACTCTCGGTTACCGGACACTGATTACAAGTAGAACAGGGTTGGTGAACAAACGTACATTCACACATGATTACGTTTGCAGGAAGCTACTCTCTGAGGAAGTAGCCAGGGAAGGGAAGTTTCAGGGAGGTGCTGATGGGGACTGAGGAGATTTAAAGCTATGGCTTTGGTGAGCACCCCGGTGAGCTGCAGGAAGGCATTGAAGAGAAGATTCTGCAGCATCAAAGGATAATTCTCTAGAAGAGGTGGGCATTCCCTTCATTAATTTAAATTCTGAGGCTCTCAGCAGTTGAGGGCCAGGAACGAGAATTAAGAAGAGAACTGTCGTCACGACCCCTTGAGAAGGGAGACCACACGGTGCGGCTCACGGTGCTGCGTGGCCCGAAACCTCTGGCGGTGTGACACGGACAGAAAAGGTCAGCACAGAAACCACGTAACACCTTACAACTCAAAAACATTTTTTTTCTCATTTAAAAAAGTACTCAGAATACATAAAACAAGGCAGCATTTATTCTTTTTTCTCATCTTCCGGTGCGGGGTCTGTCGGGGGCTCCTCCACAGTCGCACTGTTGCTCTCCGAGCCCGTGTTGCTGTCGCTGGTCCCTTCCTCGGCCATGCTGTCCACCCCCTCCTGTCCACTCTCCTTGTCCTCCGGGGTAGACGTGCCTTCCTCACCATTCTGCTGGCTTTCCGCCGTTTCTTCAAGGTGTGTCTCCTCTGTAATCACACATTTGTCCCTGTTAGTTCTAAGGCAAAACTTACTCTTCTAAGGGTGCCGACAGCCTCAAGCTCCACTGGCCGATACAGGAGCCGCCAGCCACGCGCGGCTCTTCAGCACCCAGACAAGCTCCTTGAGAGGCTCTGAGCACGTTGGGATCAATATGGGGTTTAAAAACCGACTTAACTGTAAATTTATGAAATGTAAATACAGGCCAAGCCTTTCAGAGGAAACGTTAGCCTCCAAATCTAGATGTGCTGTGAATATAAAATACACATCAGATTCTGAAGACTTTATGAAAAAAAATGTAAGAAATCAGTAAAAATGTTGATTACATAAGACAGGATGCAAAGTACAGCATGCAGAACACAGCAGTATTGTAACAACCATGTATGATGTCAGGTGGGCGCTGGACTTATCGGGGGTCGCTGTGGGGATTACATAAATGTTGAAGCACTATGCTCTGCACCTGAAGCTAAAAAAATAATGCTGAGTGTCAACTGTAATTAAAAAAAAAACCTGCATGCTGAAATGACAGTTTAGGATATACTGGGTTAATTAAACATATTATTAAAAACAATTTCACTTGTTTAGCTTGACTTTTGCAAAATGTCACTAGCAGGTGCTTGATAAGCACCCAGTGACCCACGTTCACTTCTACGGGATGATGCTGGTGTGCCGCGCTGCGGACTTAGCGAGCGGGCAGGCCTGTGTGGCAGCGACACAGGCTGGCACTGGAGGGGCCTTGTCAACGGTCACGTAGGACTGTCTCCTGCAGGAAATTAAGAGCACGAGGTTTTTGCTCTAACAGGTTCAATTTTGGGGGATTTTCCCCGAGGCTAAGAGGATAAAGCTCTGAGTGAGCGCCCACAGGCACGTGCTCTTCAGATGCCAAAACAGAGACGAAGGCTGAGCATTCGGGTAAGTCGAAAAGTCAGCACCGCACCGCATCCGGCTCTCCAACTCTCGCATTAACCACAAAGGAGCATGCACGCTCCAAATTTCATTAGAATAAAAAACATGTTCACACAAACCAGAAAAGGGCTCAGATAAGGAAACTTAAAATCTGACTATGTGAAATGCTCATCTGCTGAGTTTTGTAGAAATGCTCTATATTCTATTAAATGTTTCTCAGATGTCGAATCGGAAGCTGTCAGTCGAGCACCGAGCAGGACTGCTGCCCCCACACGCCCTCCCTGCTGCCGCCCAGGAAACCTCCGCTGTTTCCCATGATATGTCTGCTCAATCCTGTTTGCTCAGGGCACTGCTCAGGGACAAAAGGCAAGGTGGCCAGAAAAGTTCAAACAGTAAGCAATTTAATCAGTATTTTATGTCCGTTTTGCTGCCGCTTTTTTTTTCCCTTGAGGAATGCTTTTAATCAGAAAATGAGTACATCTGGAAGAAAAGTATTTCTAGGATGGGTTGAGCAAGCTTTTCTGCAGAGGCTCACGGGGAAGTATGGTGGGTTGTGCGGGCTAGGCAGTCTCCGTGGCGACCGCTCAGCGGCCCTGCTGTGCCCCTGAAGCAGCCGCATGCAGACAGTGTGTGAACGAACGATGGGACCGTGTCCCAACAAAACTTTACAGAACAGGCGGCAGGCAGATCCGGCCCTGTCCTGGCAGCCCAACAGTGACTTATCCTAAGAGCAATGACCACGTCTTATCTAAACAAGTTCGGCAATAAAGGTTAAAGACTGTACAGCACCACGTCAGATCCACCACTCAATGACTGTACGTACGTTTTCCTTCATTTACCCTTTGGAGCTCTCTCTCTGAGGCACGTGCTAGAGAGCTCAGGAACGAGGGAACCGAGGTGAAGTAACAGCCCGAGTAATAGTGCTGGCACGTGGTGAGGCGGTGTCAGATCAGATCTGACCCTGGGGCCAGTGTCCTTAACCATCACACCATCACACTTCACGTTCCCCAGCCAGAAAATGACACGGCTCAATCTGGTGAAATAACTGAGACCTCAGGAGCAAGACTAAAGATAACACACCACTGTTGTTTTGCTTGATACCAACATTTTCAGTGAATCTGCTCTGGGGATAAGATTTGGAAAGAAATGGGTAGCTCCTATAAAGAGTAACCTCTCCAAAGCACTGAGAGAAGAAATCAAAACGAAAGACAGCCAGAAAAACTCCGGACATGTGCGCTGGCGTCAGTGGGGAAGTTACCTGTCTCCATGGGAACACTCTCGTCCTCCTTCTTCTCTTCGGTCTTATTAGCCGCCTGCTCTTCCTCGGGAGCGACGCTGCTCTGGCTGCGCTCGGCCTGCTCCGCGGCCTCCTTCTCCCTTTCCTCCTGCCTTTTGCGGGCCTGCTCCTCTGCCTGTGCAATCTCAGCTGCAATTTTTTCCATGTCCACTTCTATTTTCAAGCCACACAACTAGTCATCAGAAAAAACCAAAACTCCCTTAGTAGCGGTCCCTTCTTACAATCTCTTAAACAATGAAACTACTTCAAAAATGGGTTTTCTTGGCTACAAACTGTATGTGTATGGGAGGAACAGAAGAGGGCTCCAGGTCTTGTCTGAGACCCGTGTGGCTACAGGGAGAGAGCTGCAGCCAAGCAACACGAGACATCACAAAACCAGTTGGTGAGGCACAGCTGAAAGCCCCAGAAAAAAAAACACACACACACACATACACCCCATTTTATACTCCAGGCTACCGACCCCAGATTTACCTGTTTTATACAAAGTGCATACTGTGAGCTACATCTAATAAAGCTATCCCCTTAACAAGGCTCAATCAAATAAAACAATTCATGACTGCATGGGTTTAAAACATCAGAGGGCTCTACAGTCTATGGGCCTAGTACCTGAGTGCATATTGTATAATTCAAACCTGTAAAATTTTGCCAGAAAATGGAAATAATTTTATAAACTGAAGTCATACTATTGGTCATAGCGAAGTTAATCCTGTTTCAAAGTGAACAACATTCAACAAAAGCGTTATTTTGGAAAAAAGAACAAGAAGTAAAAGGTAACAGGCGCAGTGATACACACATAGTTAACACGTTAAATTGATACCCTTTTAAGTTCATTGTTAAATGAATCTGTGCTTTCCAGGAATTTCCTCTTCTTTTCCTGGTGTCGCTCCTCTATCTGGAGAAGTTCAGCTTCTAGTTTTCGCTGTAAGACATGTGAACAGGCTTTATAACTGTACTACTTTCTCCAAAGCAAATGTCAAATTAAAAAAGTCTCATTTTGTAACAGTTCACACTTTCTTATATTGAACAAGTGTTTTAATTTTTAATAAAAATCATTTATTACACAATGTGTCTAGCTAAGATTTTTTAAAAAAGTTAAATGTAGCATAGAGGAATCGTTATGACTAATAAGTATATGATGTTAAATGCTATTTCAGGCCTGAGCAATTTCGGAAATACTGAGTAAAGCAGTAAAAGGTTGGCAGGATGTTTCAAAATTCTTCACGAACACTTTTTATTACAAGGCTCTGTGTTACGGTTTTCACGATAAACTTATCAAATCTCCGGGAAAGGCCCACTCCCTCAGGCCGCCTTCCCGAACCAGGCACAGGTCCGACCGAACACAGACACACTGAACAGGCTCACTGATCACACGGATGCAGCCCACAGAACCCGGCACCTGGGGCCTGTGGCTCAGGCCCATTTCACGATAACAAGTGTGACTTTACCTGATGAACCATTAAGGACTGGACCTGTCGTTTGAGGACCTGCATTCTGGCTGTCGTGACAACGGACCGAACGTCCGGCACCACGCTCTCACTGAGGATCTCACTGATGAGGCGGTGGTTCCTCTGGAAACGGGCGGTGGCCGTATGCTTCATGGAAAAGCCGTCATCGTAGTCTGGAATCAACGAGACATTCTGGCAATCAGGTGACCAGTCACCGGGAACAGGGGTGTGGAACGCTGCGCACACTTGATTACCAAGGAGCCAGGGCTCTCGCAAGCGGGACTCAAGGACATCAGGGGGGCTCTGGGCGGTCACTTGATAAAAACCACACAGGACATGCAGTGTTCAGGGACCAGGGAATTGGCTTTTCTCACAAAATCTTTACGACATGATACATGTCTGAGAAGGACTTGGGTGAAATACAAATGACCTATACTAATCATGTGTCATCTGGCCTGGAAATCAATGTGAAGGCTGCTATGGAGCAAAACAAAGTCTGCCGAAGGTTTCACTCTCTTGGCGGTAATGAAGGCATTTAGAACTGATGACGAACTGTGAATCGGGTGGCGTCTCTGTCGACACAGCATGATTTAAAGTGATGAAAATGCACACTGCAGAGAAAACATTACCTCTGGGACATTATCTCATGAGCAACAGTTATAAATTCTAGATGGAGTTCTCAATTAACTGGGAAGAAATTTCACAGTACTTCTTTCTACTCACTGCTACCAATTCAGTTTCCCAGACCAATACAGACGTTTCATTAGATTAAAAAACTATGTAGGTCTTAAAGGAATTTTACAGGAAACAAATTTAAATTTTTATCAGTTTACAGATACGGTTGTGCGTGTAGAGGTATTACGTTGTTCGCATCCACTCAGATTCACATGCACTCAGTACAGACCTGGTATGTTCCCTTATTTTCCAACAGCTATGCAGGTGTTTCCCTGATCTCAAACTCTGCTGTCACCTCCAGTGTTTGACGCAGCTACTAACAACCTGTACTGCTGTTTATTTAATAATATTTAAATCAACTCACTTAAAAAAAAAAAAAAAGCTCTCTCTTAAACACACACTAAAAGAAAAACTCCTCTCGGAATCACCTAGTCATCTGAGCGTCCCATCCAGGGTAGAGGGAGCGCCCTGCAGAGTGCCCGGCTGCAGGCCCGACCTTGGCTGCCCATCACAGTTTAGTATCTCCCTTATCATCGGGTGCTCAGGTCATCCCTAAAACTCTTGTATCACAAACAGCGCCACTACAAACTGTCGTGCAAATTACTTTGTCTCCTTTCGAGTGACTTCTTTAGGATATATGCTTCTGAAACTAAAAATGTTGGAATAAAAGATAGCCGGAATTAAAAAAATTCTGTGACCTTTTTACTTTTTAAAGGCATTTTCACATTCACACAATTATAAATAGTACATCTGTGCAACCTTCATCTGAGTTATCTTTCTCTGCTTTCTTCTTTCATTTACATGGCTCCAACACTGACCAACAGTGAAGGAACGTCTTAGCAATTTGGGCTTGTCTTTCCTTCCACTTTAGTTGTCTGATATATTCTGGGGAGGGAGTTGGGCTTCTATTTTCTAATTTGCCAATTATTTACTTTATCTCATAAATATTTTCCAAAATGTCATTTAAAAAAGGCTTCGCTGTCTTGTGCGAATAACTGGTATGTCTTATAGTTTTAATAGCCTTCTCTTTAAAAGAAGTTAGCAGCTGTTGTATTCACACACGTCTTTCTGTTGGTTTTACGTACACTTCTACCTCCCAAGTCTTCCTCTCTCTACTCAATTCTAAGGGATAAAGTCCAAGGTCAGAAGTCATTCTCACCCTGGCATCTTATTTACTACCTGTCCTTTCTGTAAAAACCTAATAGGCAGCAGTTTGAGAAGCAGAGGGAAGAAACCTCTTTTGGAGACTGTTCCTGAGTGACCCCTTCAGTGCGTCTCAATGTCCATGCTGTCACCTCTCACCTAAGGAAAACTACTTCTACTGATGGCTTCTATGTTGCTAGCCTTATATCCTCTTATGCTGGGCCCCTACCTCCCAATTATTTGTAGACTGGATATTCTATTTAAAAAAAAATGTTTTTTAGTCTGTGTCCTTTTCTTGCAACGATCATCCAATTTGAGCAGTTAAGGCCTGCGTGTGCCAGTTGGTCATTAGCACCACTGATCCTGCTTAGCACTTGACACTTCCTATTCCACATGCTGTTCATTACACTGACCACATTCTACTCCGTAGTTATGAGGATATCAGCCAGTATCCCAATCCTTTCTTTTAAAATATTTGTTTTCCTTTCCTTATTCATGTTGTTAGGTGGTATTACTGCTTCCTCTCTCAACGGTGTAGCTTCTTTAAAGTTCTTACAAACTCTCTCTTAGCTGCCACTACTTTAAAATGGGATCTTATTTTGATGTTTTTGTTGCTGGCAGCTGGAGCATCCAACCTCCTCCGTATCACAGAGGAACACAGAGAAAACATCACTTGCACGGCATGCTTGCTGTGTGCATGAACACGCTCCAGGGCTCCTTGCGGCTACAGAGCCTGCCTGGCTGCACGTGCCCAGGGGAACAACCTGTGGCCCTGCGAACTCCGCATGAACGCCAGTGAGGAAGCTCTGTTGTGTGTGTGTGTAAAACCTGTGTACCCTCACTGAGTGTTATCATGAGCTACATTTATGAGTTCTAGTTGGATTTCTCAATTAACTGGAAAAGAAATTTCATAGTGCTTTTTTCCACTCGTTAACTTTCTCTTTAGAGTCCTTAATTCAGAATTTAGGGAACCAATAAGAAAACAGGATATAACTAGAAGGTATTTAACTTTTTAAAAGCAGTTGAGGCAAAATTCTAATTATGACTCAAAAATCTTTCAGCATTTTGAGTACAAAGATTTTGATAAAACAATAATTTTTGCTATTTTTCTGTACTAAAAAGGACATTTCTTTTTCTTGTGGGAAATTCATATAAAAACCTTACTACAAATAATCAAAGTAATGAAATGGCATTTAAATTATGCTTTGTTTAGCATTTAGGATAGGAAGTAAAAACTTAAGCACAAACAAAACCCAATTTTTTTTACCATCTGGGTCTTCAGCAGGCTGAATGCTCATGTAGGGCTCTCCTTTCTCCATGCGAGACTGCCTCTGTCGACTTTCCTCCTCTAAAGCAGCTTCTGCACGGCTTTTCGCATTTATGTAAGCAAGGTATGCGGGGGAATTATGGTAGGCCTTCATAGATTCATTGTACTCTATCTGAAATGCAAATTTTTTGTTTTATAATTAACATTTTGCCAGTTATAATGAGTATCTATTCATATGAATATCAAAAGACACCTTAATTATCTCCTTTTCACAACCAAAGAATCTGAAGTCTAGAGAAATTAAGTGACCCAAGCAGACAAAGGCGCAGTATAGCCCCAGGTGTCCAATTAGATGTTATGCTTCTTTTCTAAGTAATAAGCAACATTTATGCCCTTTCCATCATGTCCACCCCACTGCAGCTCCCATTCTACCTTCTCTGCTTCGTATTCGTTTAAATATTCTTGTTTTTCTTCATCAGTGAGATCTCGCCACATGCCACCAATAATCTTGCCAATCTCCCACAGCTTTAGGTCAGGGTTGGAAGCCTTGACTTGGTCCCAGACCTTAAAAAGGAAACAGTTGAAATTTCATTATCAATGCCTAAAAAATAGACCTTTAAAAAGGTTTTTGTTTTAAAAATAGTTATTTTCACAGAAAGGAGAAGGGAGGGAGGGAAACATCAATGTGTGGTTATCTCTCACACGCCCCCAAACAGCAACCTGGCCTGCAACCCAGCCATGTGCCCTAGACTGGGAATCAAACCAGTGACCCTTCGGTTCACAGGCCAACACTCAATACACTGAGCCACACCAGCCGGGCTAAAAATGTTTTTTAATATGAACATTTTAAAACATAAACGAAAGCAGAGGGAATAGAATCAAGTCTGTCTATATGTTCCCATCAGCCTGCTGTAACATTATCCACGGGTGGCCAATCCCATTTCACCTACAGTCTGAGGGACCGCTTTAAGGCAGGTCGTGGGCATCTCCAATCACTACAGGCACTTCAGATAAGCTAACTCAATAACAGTCATATATATCTAAGAGGTCACAAAAATTTAGAAGTTGTTAGTCTGCACAATACATCATCAAATACATATATATATATAATTATGACAAAATATTCTAAATAGTGATGGAAATAGCTACATGCTCTTGTCCTTAATTAAAATATTGACTCTATCTCTTATTTTAAGAGTAATGTAGGTTCAGCCCTGGCTGGTGTAGCTCAGTGGTTTGAGCACAGGTCTGCGAACCAGAGGATCGAGGTTCAATTCCCAGTCAGGGCACGTGCCTGGGTTGCAGGCCAGTTCCCAGCAGGGGATGCACGAGAGGCAACCATACACTGATGTTTCTCTCCCTCTCTCCTTCCCCTCTAAAGATAAATAAAACCTAAAAAACAAAAGAAAAAGAAAAAGAAAAAGAATCAGTTCCTTAAAAAAAAAAAAAAAAAAGTAATGTAGGTTCATACGAAAAAGGTTAAAATTCAAGGTGGTATAAAGAAAATAAAAATGACCATAGCTTATTATTTATTTATAGATAACCATGTCTTTTGACTTCTGTCTTCCTTTAAACAAATGTGTAGTTGCTATTACTTTTATAAAAACAATACATGCAGTCATGTTCCCCTCCTCACTTAACATCCTTCCCGTGTCATGAAATATTCTCCGAAAGACTGCACGACGTTGGCTGCGTAACACCGTCGTAACGGCTTCAAAAGTTTATTTAATCATGTTCTTCTTGTTAGATTTTTAGTCCGGGATTTTAAAATCAGAACTAAGTTCTTTAAAAACTGCAATTCTTTCTTCTGGCTACACACAGAAAAGCTGGCTGAGCCAAACCGAACTCTGGGGAAGCAAAGCAGCAAAGGGAACCGCCCCCCCTCCGCCCCAGGTCCAGGCGCTTACCTTCCTGCTGTACCTCATGTAGGGCATCAGCGGCTTATCTGGTGGCTTTGGGGGTTTTGGAATCGTAATACCAGAGGATGCCTACAAAACAGTTAAATACATTCATTATTCAATTGCAAGAAGTTTACAAGCAAAATGAAAAGAGAGTGCCTTAAAAAAAATTCTAATGCGCCTTTCTTCTACTCGTCCATGGACACAAGATTCTTATATTTTCTCCACTGAAAATAGCTATCACTGCAAATTCAGAAATGTTCATATCAAAAGAAAGTAAAGAAAATGACTTTAAGCACATAGTTTGAAAATATTTTACATAGCAGTTTATTGCTACTGCTTTGACAACCTGGCTGTAAGAACAAATAAATTGTTACATAACAATCCATACATTGAAAATACATTGTTGTATATCCAATGTCCCACACTTAGGACATCACCTGGCACCCTTTTATTTTACTTAATTTTCCACTACACATACAGTCAACACTTGATTATCTGCACCGGGACCTGCGCTTCTGCGGCGCTCAGCCGCACTCACCCTGCCTACAGGGCACAGTACGTCTGTCTGCATTACTGTGGGGACGCGCCCCCACAGAAACAATGCTGCCCCCACAAAACTACTTCCTAGGTTCAAAAACAGACAACACAAAATTTATTTCCTTTATCACAACTACTCTTCTTAAGGTTCTAGGTCCTAATATAGTGGTTGTCTATAAAGGGGGTTTAGTTCAAGAGGTGTAAACTAAAGTCATGTCTGTTTTATCCTTAGTCCTAACAAAAGTGTGGGAGCGGACAAGTTTACCAGCACCAGAGAAATGGCAGCCACAGAGCCATTACAGTAGGTCAAGGAACCCCATTTTATTAAAGAATTTTGCATTTGTGGGGAATATATAGACAAACAGAAAAATATGAAGGAGTAGGAGAGATGGAAAAATACATTTTATAAAGGTAAAGAAAAAAATAGGTTAGAGGGGGAATAAAAAAAGAGAGAGAAAGATAAGAAATTGGTTCTTGCCCTGACTGGCATGGCTCAGTTGGTTGGACGTTGCCCCCCAAAGTGAAAGGTTGCCGGTTCAATTCCCAGTCAGGGCACACGCTGAGGATGTGGGTTTGGTCCTTGGTTGGGGTGTGTACAAGAAGTAACCAACCCGATGTTTTTCTCCCACATGGATGTTTCTCTCCCTCTCTTTCTCCCTCCCTTTCCCTTTCTCTCTTTAAAGAAAAAAAAAAAAAGTCAGTTCTTTCTATGGGCTAATATCCTGGCAAGAGATAGCAGGTAACTCCGAGTGGGCAGCCGGCATAACCCCAACCCATGAACGCCTATTTCTGAACTTAGTTTGCTCAAAGACCCAGGATAAAACCATGGCTGAGTGACTTTTATTTCCCCCAGTTTCTGGGAGACCCTCGATATTGATTCTCCTTGCCAGGCAGGGGAAAGAAGTGCTAACTTTGACTGTCAAAGGCAGAGTTTGGCAAATCCTCGTAAGAAAGCTGAAGTGGCATTTTTTCCCTTTGCTTTTCCGTTGTTGCCGTGATGGAACCTGGGGACAACCCACCCTGGGCTGGGACCCCAATCGTAACCTTGTTTTCCACCCACGGGCCCAGAGATGAGCGGGTTGCCCCCACTCCACCGCTGGCAGACGGTGCTTCCTCTTCCTCTGAGGGTCTCTCTGCACCCTTGTGTACTTTTCAGTGACTCTGCTTCTTCATTCACGAAATTATTAGAGAGCATGTCACCGCTGAAGCAGTATCTCTTCTCTTCCTACTCCTCGCACACATTCTCACCACACTGCATGCTGGGCCCACGCATACAGCCCCGCTTCCAGCCGGCAGCGGGCGGTGGAGGGAGGTGAGCCGCAGGGAAACTCCAACAGCACCGGTCTGAACAGTACGGGGAGGCCTGTCTCGGGGTCTGCGGGAGCTCTTTCAAGGGGTGGGCAGGGAGGGGTTCCGCCAAGGCCAACCTCATGCCACAGAATCATGTCAAGACATGCACAAGTCTGATCACTCACACAGGAAGTGATCGAAAAGCGTTTCCAACTCACACCCAACAACAATGTTCAGAATTTCACAAAGCAGGTTACCAATAAAGTTGGAATTGTGCCAATAACTGAAGTCAGTAGGCCACTGTAACTTTTTTTTTTAAAGAGGGAAAGAATTCTGAAATGTCTATGCTTTAATATGGTGAATTAAGCCACTTAAAACACAAATTATAGTCATATTTGCTCTTGGGTATTTTCCAAAGAACTGCATTGTATAACACTAATGAATTTGCTTCTTTCTCCTTTTTCTCCCAAAGATACCCAAGTCTCTCGCACACTGAGGTCCAGTTTTCATTACACTAACCAGTCAATTTACAAATGCAAACAAAACCCAAAATAATAACAACAAAATTCAATTCTAGCTGATTTCCAGGCTACTGAAGATTTGTATCATTATACGTCCCTATTATTTACCATCTCTGACAGACATCTGTCTATGTCTTATGGCCCCAGGGCTCTGCTTTGGGAAGGCACATTCCTTTTTTAGCCATTTCTTTCCTTGCTGTTATCAGGACACCTGTCTCTAGCAGCACCCTCCCTCCTTCCAATTTGCTGCTTCTCCCTGGCACTGAGGAAAAACAAGTAATTATGCTTGTGAGAACTGTGCTTTCATAACAGTAAGGTCTTGGGCTCGCCTTTGAATAAAGTCCATGATTTTGTGAAATTTATTTTGGTTACTGAAAAGTTGGTTGCTTCTTTCCAATTTTCAGCTGTTTCTCTGGTAGGATTTCATTGATGCGTTTTCTTCGGGGATGGAATTTCCACTAATGCATGGAAATAAGCTGTTTTTAACATTTTGTCTCAATTTGTTTTCCTTCTGTACTTGAAAATGTTAACTGCCATCTGAATGAAGACCTAGCTAGGAGTGACTTGCATTGCATACCTACCATAAGCACCCCAAGAGGGTGTATGCTGTATAAAGTCCTTGTTGGAGAACGATTCAAGTGCACCGGAGCCAACAGGAAGGACCGATTTTCTGGAGGGCCTACCGGGAACTACTTATAGGGCTTCACAGAATCGTCCCTTTAATGATTCTCAGAACCTCACTGACCTGAGGTGATTTGCAGACACCACCACCAAGGAGTAGACCTCCTCCCCCCAATCCTCGAAGTAACACAGAATAGAGGTAGTCTTAAAACAGAACACCTTCATAATGGTCAAAGTCAGATCTACTGAGTTCTAACAGAGCTGAAATTAGATATATAAAAAAGCTAGTGTAAAACTTTAGTCATAACAAGTTTTCTCAGAGAGTGATTAGATGATCTAATCACTAAAATCGGAGGTCACTAAAAGCTTAAGGGGCTGGAATTAACTCAGGCTCAAAGCTTCCATACTTCATAGGTCTTCCGGGGCAAGTCTAAAGAGCAGTTTAATTTACTGTTTATTCTGACACCGGAAGGGACAATAGTGCAGAGAAAATCACCACGAGACAGCCCAAATGCCAAATGTTCCACGCCCAACAACCCCCTCATCCGGACCTGCCCTGAGGCTAAGCCCACTCCAGATGCCAGGTGCCAACACCCCCCAGCAGGGATAGAAAGAAACAGGTAAATGACCCAGGCTCTGAGACAGACAGCGCACCTTCCTCTGCCTGGTGATTCTCCATGAAGTGATCTCACTTCACTGACACAGAACTCTCCTGGACACATCCATGTTAAGAACGCAGTGCTTACACAAACTGAAACACACATGATTCTAATATCACAGTTACTTCCATTTCTATTCCATTAACAGAGATAATCAAGAGCTGACTGTATAGAGCAATTAAAATGTAACCGTTCTCTTATTTACCGCTTATGACTAATTTTCTCCATTAACGTGAAATGATCCAAAATTGATTCTGTTCCTTGTTTAAATCAAAATGTTCTTTATCATTTGATAACCTTGCTACTCATTAACACTTTCGAGAGAACACATTTAGGCCAGGGAAAAACACGTATCGATGCACATAAAAATCGTATGCATTGTGAAATGCATACACACACACACATTGTCAGATTTCTTTTCAGGTACCATGAAATATGCAAGGCATGTAAAACTTGATATGCTTATGAAGTACAGATTATGCAGAAACAATGAAAAAATCTAGACAAACGAAACCTATGAAGCTAAGCAATATGCTTACCAAGATAGACAGTTGGCAGTTACAGGCTCTCTGCTCTGGCCTGCCTACAGGGTGAGAGGGCTTCTCTGAAGTCACATGAACTGAATTATTTATGAGGACAGCAAACAAAATCCAGGCATTGAGAAGTTTACAGCTGTTCTGGGTTGTATTAATTCTCACCAATGCCACGTTCCAATGTATGCAGGTATTTGCCTTTTGGATTTATTTACTTTTGGTAAATCATTTTTAGTTATTTGTTTCTTTGGTACCTGGACTTCTTTGAATAGAGTTTAAGATGATTCTAAAATAAAAAGTCTGAAGTACATCATCCAGTTTTTATTATCTTAGGTTTATCATTTATTTTACTTTTACACTTATTTATTTTTCTCTTAGGTTGATCAGTTACGTGAAACACCTTCAGTTGCAGAAACCATATCCCTTATCCTAAAGATTATAAATACACTTCCAGTTGTAGATATCTAGTCTGGTATTTCAAATAGTCTCATTTAACCTTCATTCTGCAATTCTTTGGTATGACACAAGAATCTTTTTCTCTTTTTAACTGATGAGAAATGAATCTCAGTTGTAAGGTCAACTATTAAATCCAAAAGACAAATAATTATGTGTAGCAATTCAAACTGGTAGGCCAGGCAAAAAGAGCCAGGTCTGTAAGCCCAGTCTTTACAAAGAAATTGAGTTCTAGAGCCTAATGACAATTACCTTCGATGAAAGATAACGCTTCATCTCAATTAGGGTTTTTTAACTATACGAAATTCTAGGTTTGTTTAAACATCGTATAAGCATTAAGCGTCCAAGATTTTCTTTCTACCAACCACCAAAAAGAACGAAGTCTTTTCTTCTATATACATATCCAGACCAATTTTTTTCAGTGTAAGATCATACAGTGAATGTTTAAAATAGTCGAAAAGCCAGGTTAAAATTTTTTTCATGGCTATGCTGGTGATTCAGAAGGACCTAACTCTGAAGGCATTTCTGGTCAATTCCAGTTGTTTGCCGGATGCTGTAATAGTTGATTCTCCTACCGTGACCCGGCTGTTGGTGCCCGGGTTCCCTCCCAGCCTGTAGTTGTTGTAGGCGAGATGACTGTATGGATTGTATCCCACAAACCCTGGTGTGCTGGGCATTTGCTGATGGAAACAAATGAGACAAAAACACGAATGAGAAATGAGCTCAAACGAGGAAAACACAGAAATGAAAAATGATCTGCATATGGCATGCAAAAGCAACCTGAGTTTAAACAAGCAATGATGTGTTGGAGCTGTTCTTTTCCTTTCATCGAGAAACCAGTCTGCAAGTGGGCTTTTTCCTCTTTTTCCTACTTCCTTCTCCTTGCGGGAACAGTGGTATTTGTGTGAGTGTGAATGTGTGTGCTTGCATATTTGGGATAAGCAATACAGTGAAGTGTCTCAAACATTCAGGGTTACTTAATGGTCAGTAAATAGTATGATATAACAACTTAGCAATATGTGTCTGAGAGGAAAGCTTGAAATGTGATAAACTAGAAGTCTGAAAACACTTTACATGCAAAACAAAACATGATTTATTCGACATTTATGTGGATGCTGCCAATGTGTTCATCTACTAAAAACAAGAACAAGAAATGGACTGCTTTCAATGACAGTTTTAAATCACTTTATATAATGTGGGAAATGAGAAGAGACTCAAGTCAGGAAGCCAGAAGTTGTCAATAGAAAGGAACATATGTGGGATTCAATGGGTATCACATACATGATTTCAAAACAAAGACTTGTAAGAAATGTATGGATTTCATTCTGGGGCATGCTCTGATCTTTTTTAACCCAGTCATTCTTTTACAGGCTTTCTCTTCCATCTCTTCTTTGATCCATCTTCACTGGTCAATCATGAACAACTTCTGCTTTTAGTTTTAATGTGCACTATTTTTCTAGTTAACAGATTCAAATTTCTTTTTTAAAAATCCTGATAGCTCTTGCCCTTTCAAGACATAACTGCTCATTGTAGCAACAGAACTCTTGGCTTTATGAATAATGTGTTGATGTGGTTACAAATGGGCTCTTACATGGCAGTGCCCTTGTGATTAATACAATGACATCCAATGTTTATGAGAATCAAGGTATAATGCATAAAAAGAATGTAGCAAAGAGAGACCAAAAGTAGGGTATTTTTCCCTAGTGAAATTCAATCAAAACAAATGAGAGTAATTTCATTTTAACATGCAATTAACAATATCAGTCCTGAAATGTATGATGTAAAAAACACTTAATACATTCCAACTAAGCTGTAGCCGTTATAAAAGAAATAATTTTCTAGAACATGCCGCTGCACACATCCTCAATTTCCGAAAGACAGTCAAGCACTTGATACTCTTTAGAAGAGAACTGATCAATTTCTAGTCTACACAGTTATAAAAGACGCAAACCAAGCATATTTAAGTAGGCAAAACACAGATGAAGCATCAAAGGCACAAAGGAAGTAAGTGTCTATCACTTGGAGTGGTCCACTCAGATGGTGGAGGAGGAGGTGGTGGTGGTGATGGTCAACTGTGATGGTGGTGGCAGAAATAATGGAAAAAAGAAAGGAGGGCAACTCATCTACTATCCGCTCTGTTGCATGTCCTGACTCCTAATCTTCTGTATTTTATGTGTCGATGTGAAACTATAATGGTATACAAATATGACTGAAGAGAGGTTAAACAACATTCCTTCCTACATTTGGGAAGTCATAGGGGACACTTGGTTTTCAAGCTATTTTTATCTCAAAAAACCAAGTGTGCATTCCAGATACTACACACTGTCTGAGGAAGTATTTATATAAAAATGACACCTTCGAAGGTTTCATGAACTATGAGAATCACTGTTCAACACTAAGGCAATAATGTAAGAAAATTAGGTAGGGGAGCTAAAAAAAAGGAAACTAAAACATGACAATTATACCATTTCCAAAAATGAAGTACATGGTTAGCTCTTTGAGGTCAGGAATCTCAATTGTTCGACTCCACCCGTATAGCCACTAGCAGAGTGCCAAGGAGACTGGTCATGAGACATGTGCTTTGATTTAAGAAAGAAAACAAACACAGGACTTTAAGATCTACTGGAAGTAACTTTGGAGACTATATATTATATAAATTAAACTGAAAACATGTGATATAGTATCTCTTTTTAAAAACATCTTACTGAAGAGAACCAAATTACTGATAAACATAACTAAAACATTTTATCCAAGGGTTAGTAATTAAGAATAGTTATCTAGTGGAGAAAACAAAATTACACAAGGACCTAATTAGTAAACTAGCTTGAAATTTAGTGGGTAGGGGGACTGGAAGGAGCACTAATAGCTGTTAAAGAATTGCTTTTGTAGGATATAGTCAATGTTAAGTGTTTTGTTTGTTCTGAAATAAAAAAACAACAAGGCCTGAAGAGTTACTGTTATATTTGTTTCATGGACTGGACAATTATTTGACATGCTGACCAAGCTGGGCCAGAACCTGCTGGGTGAAAAAAACAAAAGTGCCTATTATTTAGACACTTTGAAACATATCAAATCCCAAACCAATAGAGTATTATTTATGGAGTGGAATGAAATTCAATAGCAGGATCTGACTCACAGATAATGAAATCCTTACTTGAACAGCTTGAAAATAAAGATTTACAATGAGTGTTATTATAGAACAGGACTCTCTATTTTGATTTAATATGAAAGTTGTATATACACAAGGGGAGAAAAATGCAACCAATTTAAGGTTAGGTTGGAAAATAATAAATGCCAGAGTGAGCATTCATTCAATATTAACTTTAAAGACTCTTAATAAGAAATTAACAAGAAAGAAGTGTTAAGCTCGTCAGTTATTTCCCATTAAAAAAAAACAAAAACAACCAAGCATAGGAGGTTGGCCGTTCAGCAGTATGTTTCTTTAAATGTTGGGGCTGGTTCAAGGTAAGATGCAAAGAGTTATTTTATTTAGTAGGAAGTGCTGTTTTTTTTTTTAGCTGACTTTTTCATCCTGTTGCTGTGATGGTTGAGTGACTGTTCCTGGAAGACATCTGGGTTTTTGTATCAAGGCCAGACTTGGCTATTACATTAACAAGAAAATTAAAACTTACTGTTGCAGGAGCTGGGGTGGGAGGTGGGGCATAAGATGGTCTTTCTGTTTGAAAGAAAATAAATAACTTCTTGTAAACAACTGAGATATAATACTATGCAACAAAACTACCAATGGTCCTGTTTTGAAGAAAAAAAAAATGAGAGTATTTTGGAATTCCCATTTGCTAGGGCATTAGTCTCTTATTTATATAGATTGATAAATATTAAAAAAATGAAACTTACTTGACATTTTGGAAGATTAAGTTCTCAGTTCCTTAAGAATGAATCTGAGACACTAAAATAAAAAAAGGAAAAAAAAAGAAAAAAAAAGAGAATCAAAACTCAGCAAGCATGAGAGAATGTTTTCTTAAAGAATAGGGTATAGTTAAATTGGTATCTCTTAGTAAAATTACATTATCTTCTATTATCCAAGTTTTTGTGCATATTATACTAGTTCTTTAAGTCATTTGGTTGATCAGAATTAAACGATTACTAACAATTTACTGGGGATATTAAAAGTAGTATTAGACATGTACTTTGAAGTTTTTTCTTATGCTACTGAGCCACCTCTTGTATGGAAAAAATTTTGCTGATGCCATGTACACATCTGATCAGACCAATAAAAATATAATGACAATTGAATATGAGATATCATCAGGGCCCGCACTAAGGAGGCCTACTAGATACTGACAGCTCCCAGACAGGCAGAAGCTCTCCCCTCCTTTCAGCCTAACAACTGCCATTAAAATAGACCGGCCTTTTATTCCTGGAGGCAGTGCACAAGGTAACAGGTATGCTAAATAAGCTGTATATTCTCTCCTAATGGTCAACAGCTTTCTAAATGCTAGGAATAAATTGGGAGAATCTACCTGAAAACCTCTTATTAACCCTTCACAGCCCATTTCAAAATATATCTCCTCAGTGGAGCTTTCTTGACAAATTACCTGGGCAGAATTGCTTCCTCCTCTTTACTCCTACCCAATTCACACAGATCTGCGATATTGTGTATTATATCATATTCCCGTTACTACAGCTAGATTGCATGCTGCCTGGAAACAGGGACTGTCTATCTAATTCATTATTATCTAATTCATTATTGTAGTCTCAAGCACCTAACTCGATTCTTAACAAATTTTGCCCTAGTATTACCAGCTCACAGCAGGACAGTTACACAGGAGCTTCTTCCTGACATCAATATACATTGCCCACAGAGCAGAGAGACCTTCATTTTTAGAAAAAAGGCAAATAACTTCTACGACTACTGCAGTATCTTCATCCAGCGTTATGTGAAGCAAACAGGATTTTTTTCCCCTCCTAGTTTGCATTTTAAGGGAATTCCCTGGAGCATAAGCAATAAGAGGCCTCGTATGGAAAGACAAACTGGACCTCTCACTTTCTCCTTACGAAACAAGCAGAAACCACTGCTCCTGGTGTAGATTCCCCTTCTGCTCACATTCAGGGAGCTGTCAGGATCCATAGGCCTTGCTCTGGGAGCCCTGACAAAGAATGCCACGAGCTCCTCTGTACATCACGCATTGTTCATTCTTTTAAATGATCGCTCGCGCTCCTTCGTTATAATATCAATTCTAAAAGCGGGCCCTTATTATCTGGCCACCTCCATCCCCACTACTTGACATAAACTACTAGATTAAGTGTTTGCTGAATCCCTATAGGGGACAGGCTAATTACTTCCATTATCTTGCTTAATAGGCACAACTAACCAACAAGCTTTGTACTGCTACTTGCATTTTACAGATGAAGAAAGGGAGTGTCCGTGGGTTTAATGAACTTATCTAAAAACACATAGCCAGGAGATGCCAGGGATGGGTTTCAAGCCCAAGCCAAAGTGTTCCAGAGCTTTCGCTCTTCACTCTAAGCCACACCTGGGGTACTCGGTTCACTGCCTGGATCAACGGGAAACCACCTTCCTAGGGGGTGATGACTACGGGCCTGGCTCGCCCCCAAGGGCTTGCTCTGAGATCGGCCCCTTTAGCTCTGCCGTGGAGGATGCGCGTTACCAGCAAATCCACAAAAACGGGGCATGCATAGCTACTTTGACCAATTTCGTGGGGTTCGTGGACAGGGTAAGTCTCGTCGCCAAGGAGGGAACCCAGATGGGGCTCCCTCCCAACCTTCGCTCCGCGCTAGGCCTCAGGGAGGCCGCAACCAGCCCGAAGCTCTGGCCCCGCGGCCAAGTCTGAAACCCAGCAACCCCCGGGACTCGGAATCCAGCCAAGACGGGACATCACCACTTGCCCCCCTCGCGACCCGGTTGAGCCCAGTCGGAAACACTCACCAGCGGGCAGAAAAAGCGCCCGCAGCTCCGGCCTCGCTTCCCTTTGTCCCGCGCACGCCCCGCCCCTCGCGCCCGGATCTTCCGCTCTCGCACTTTCAACACTCTTCTTAATTTCTTTCCAGGCGTCTCCCGACTGTCTTTAGAGAAAAAAGCCTCCGTGTGAGGATGCGTGATGCTTCGTACAGTCAAGAATTTTTTTCCAGTTCCTCAAAACTCCCCGAATTTGGGTAATTTCCCAGCCGGGCGCTGATTCGTCACGGCGGAAACGGCGGAGGGGGCCTGTCCGCCGGAGAGGCACGGATTCCGCTGCCGTCTGGGGCAGCAGCGGCGCCGGTGGCGGCCAGGGAGGCGGCGGGTGTGGGAAGCTGCGCCGAGGGACTTGGGAGCCACGGGTTCGGCTCCACGCGCGGGGCCGGAAGACGGCGGGAGTCGCCCGGGCGTGCAGCCCCGGAACCACTGTGGCCGCGCTGGTCGCGCGCCTTTCGGGCCAGGCTCCGGTCGCGCCCACCCCGCGATTTCTTTTTCCGGTTTTTTTATTTCCTCTTTCATCTAAGCTGGCTGTGTGTAGTTTAGCAAGCCGAGGGTGGAGGCGCGGAGTTTCCGGCCCCGCAGGCGCCTCTCAGGACTCCATGCCTTAACGACCCGGGCTTTTTCAGTTTCTCCAAAGTCGAATTTGGTGCAGTTGCCCCTGGTTTCCGAACCCTGGCCCAGAGATGTTAATCCCCTAGGTTGTGTGCCTGTGCAGCGTCCTGGTGGCCCTAGTCTCTGGTCATTGTTGTGTTTGCTCACTGGGTTCCCACTGCAGGGAACGGCTGCCCCCCATTTTCAGGCTAAACTCATGTTCTTTTGGATCCAGCTCACAGGTCTTTTTGTGATGCCCTCCTGCGCCAACCTTCCTCCCAACTCCATGGTTCTTTGACATGTTTGTGGTAATCTGTATCTGATCCATTGTATCAGTTTGTTTGTCACCTCCAACGCACTGTGAGGGTCTTGAAAGTAAAGTCATCTGCATCGGTTATCTTCGCTTTGCCAGTGTCTACTGAGGGCTTGAACCATTGTCAGATGCTCAGTAAATGGTATTGAGGCAGCTTTCTGGTCTAGTCTGGGGCTTTTTCCATTACATCATGAGTATGTTGGCTTACCATTTAGTAGCCCCTTCCTTGAATATGTGAACAGCTGGCAGGTGTTGGGGGCCATTGTGGAAGGAAAAGCAACAGACGGGCTCTCTGACCTGTAGTTACTTGAAAACAGTGTTGACATTTTCAGTGACTGATTGAATTTTTGGGCTGCTCTTAGCCATCATCAGGGTGGGGGTGGGGCGGATGCCAGCAGCCACTAGGGCGTCTCTAGAAGTGGGTAAAGCCCGGGACAAGTGACACTCTGTCCAAATCTTCCACCTCCAATATTTTTATAGGCATGAATAGAGATTATTGAAATTGAAGGGAAAGATAGGAGGTCCTCAAATGATAATAGGCAATCTTGAGTAGTGCTTGAAGTAATATACATGAAATTGCTTTAAAAAATATATACATATAATATATTTTTGGCTGGTGTGGCTCAGTGGATTGAGCATTGGCCTGCAAACCAAAGGGTCACTGGTTCAATTCCCAGTCAGGGCACATGCCCGGGTTGCCAGCTAGGTCCCCAGCAGGGAGCATGTGAGAGGCAACTACACATTGATGTTTCTCTTCCTCTCTTTCTCCCTCCTTTCCCCTCTCTCTAAAAATAAATAAATAAAATATTAAAAAATATATAAGCATCAGAGACATGTAAAACATTAATATAAGATACACACAGGCTTCAGCAGAGACCCTGGTACCTTCTTTCTCTGGCTTCCTCCAGCAACTCCAGTTGGTTTCTTCCTGCCTTTGGGATTGTGGTAGAGGGGCCAGGCAAGTGCCCTGCTAGGACGCATGCTCTGTTGTGTCATCTCTAGGCAGTCGTCTGAAAAAGAGCTGCAGGCACTGAGTGTTAGAAACCATGCACACTGCAGTGGGAAAGGGAGGCACAAAAATGGTGGAAAAGGGAAGGAGGGGATTTGAGTGAAGTGACAATGACACATCCTCACTTCCTGACCTTTCAAGCATCACCTCAGCTCATCTTTCCTGACCTGGTTAAAATGGCAGCTCATGCCCCAGCCCCCGCTCTACTCATGGCCTGTCCTTTGTTCTTTCTCTATAGCACTTACCACCACCTAACCTACTGTGTTTATTATGTACTTATTTTGTTGTCTTTTTCTTCTTTTCAGAATGAAAGCTCCTTGAGGTTGGGACTTTTGGCTTCTGGAACAGTGCTTGTGCACCCAGATGCTCAGTATCTGTGGAATGAATAAATGGGTATCTCATTTTCTCCATTTTCTTTCTCCACTCCTGAAGATTTGCAAAGTTAAGTTATCTTTTGCCAAAGATAGGCAAAATGTAACAAAAAAAAAATCTCTATCCTAGTCTTGAGGAAATTATACTGAAGAATGAAATAATTCAGTAAGGTAGACTCTACTTACACCAAGTTGTTTTTTTCCCCAAAGTGAGAGTAGTAGTAAACCCCAGAGATAATCTTAGGCCCAAGTGGTTTGCTTTCTGTCCCTAAGGTCCAGGGACTTGGCCTGCTTTCCTCTGACCCTACACATACTTTTTTCTTTGTAATCGACATCCAGGGACACTTTTCATTGCTTTTTTTTTTTTTTAAGAGAGTGAATGAGAGAGAGAAACATTGATTTGTTGCTTCCAATACTTGCCCAGACCAGGGATGGAACCTGCAACCTCGTATGTGCGGGGGGTCAAACCTGCAAACTTTCTATTCACGAGATGGTGTTCCAACCAACTAAGCCACACTTGCCAGGGCCCTATTCATACTTTTTGAAGTTCTTCTTCCCCCCAAAACAAGGGAAGCCAAAACTAGTGAGTGATTAAACTGGGATTCAAGCTCAGGTCTCTGATTTCTTTCCATAGTTCTGTGGGAAGAAGCTGGGGAAGGAGACAGAATTGAGGGTACAAGGAGAACCATGACTCAGAAGGAAGAAGAAAAAGGAGCTAATGGGAGAGACCAAGGCAAAACCTGTACCCCCTTGGCCACCTAGTAATCCGTGAGTTGGCTCTAGGAAGTCTTAGGAACCTTTAAAACTACACATTTTATGTGCTTTCTTTCCCCCCCCAGATAGAGGGTTAGTAGTTTATCAGATTTTCAAAAAAACCTATGACTCAAGATTTTGAACCAACTACTAAGCTATACAGTTTGTGCATAGTACGTTCTAATGAAGCTTTTTTTAAACGATTTTTTTTTTCTTAAAGTAGGGAAAGGGAGGACAGAACTCTGCCTGAGCCAAATAGCTTATCAAAGTCTGGTTATAGGCAACATGATGAAACAGGCTGTTCCTGTGGGAGCAGAAGAAATGATGCGGCTTCCGTTTCCGTTGCTAGATGGCTGTGGAACACTGAAGGCCAGCAGATTTCCAGGACAGGGGTTCGCATTGTTTTACACAGTTGGACGAAGTATGGTTTGCTTTTCAACCTTCTGAATTGCCTTTAAATCCCTTGAGGGTATGGATGTGAGCTTTGACACATGGTCTGGAGACGCATGGTATGAGAGTGTTTGAAAACAGGTGGTCCTGCAGAATCTGGGGTGTGATCCGTCATTCACAGACCTTCTTTGAGGGTCTAGGGCAGGAGTCGGCCAAGTGGATCTGGGAGTAAGGCCAGGATCTAGGGCAGATCCTGGACAGATCCTGGCTGCCCTCTCTTTTTGGAGTTTTATAAGAACATACCTAAGCCTGTTATTCACATGTTACTTATAGCTGCTTTCAGGTACAAGGGCAGAGATGTATAGTTGCTACAGGGATGATGAGGCCCAAAGTTAGCCTCTCAGCAGGGGTGTCCAAACTTTTGGTGCCTCTGGGCTCCATGGAAGAAGAAGAGTTGTCTTGGGCTACAAGTTAAATATGCAAACACTAATAAAAACTGATGAGCAAATAAAAATTTTAAATAAATTGACAATTTTGCATTGGGCCTCATTCATAGCCACCCTGGGCCACACGCAGCCTGTGGGCCAAGGGTTGGACACTCCTGGTGGGTACTACGTGCATGAGGGAAACTGGGGAACTGTTTTGCACTGTTCTGAATTGCACGTGCACCTTATTTCCAAATGTTCACTTGTAGTATGTCCGTGAACACTGGCAGTCTGCGTGTACGTGCTGGCCATCGCTTGTAAACACAGAACCGAGGTCTGCCCTGTTCACAAACTGCTTAAAAATTTCATGTGTTGATAATTTAATGTGTCTACGCATATTACTTAAAGTTTAACTTTGGCTCATGTACCATAATGTTTCCATTAGAAATTTTTTAATGAATTCATGCATTTTTTTGACTACAAAGAACACTTTTGTGCTTTAAAAGCGATTGCGGTCGAACAACTCAAATTGGGTAGCTCACTGGGGAAGAGTAACTCTCCTGGAAGCAACAACTTTCAAATGTTCTCATGACCTGTTGTGTTTTGAACGATTATTTAACCATTGTCGGCTGGACTTGTTCTAATGGATTCTTTCCCAGCGACAGTTTCTACTCAGACAGTGCCGTGTACGTGAGTCGCACTTTGCCAGATAGTTTCTTGTATAAGTCTGGGCATTGTCACCGAGGACCGCCTTTCCCTTAGTTTTCAAGTGTGAACACTGAGGCCTAGGACGTGGAGGTGACCCCTTCCTGGTCTTGTGGGTAATTCATGACAGTGCCCGGTGGGACCCTAAGGTTGTCAGCCATTGGAATGACTATTTTTGTGTTTTGTTATGGAAGCATCTGTTTTAATTATTCCAGAAAGACAGAAGAATATTAATTTCTATTCATCTAGAAAATGAGGATAATATCACAGTCCTTGTGGGACTGGCGTAAGCATTATGGATTACGCGCAGGTCTGCTGAGGACAGCGTGGGGAGCAGCGGAAGTATTCTGTACCCGGTGGCTCCTGTTACAGGATTATGGGATTATTTTGATTTTTTTAAATTAGAATATACCATTTTTCATGTTTCTTTTGTTAAAAAAGTATACAAATTTCCCTCTCCTCCATGGTTACCATTTTCTTCATTCCTCAAGTGAGCCAACCACTTGAGTTGGAAAAATTAAACTCAACACAGTGTCTCCAACTCAAACACAACCCAGATGCAGAGTTCACGTTTCAGTTTTTTATTGTAATGTTACTGTTGACCTTGGTAAATTCATATCCCAATTTAAAACTCCCGAAAGCAAATAAAACTTTGTTATGAATTCAAGTTCTTTAGTTTAAAATGCACATGTGACACACAATGGTTGCACAGTGGAGTTACTATCATAAGCGATTACATCCATGATGCCCAGTACTGAGTTTTCACACCGCGGATCGATTACACTAGGTATACTGCATACAATTACTGTTGCTGAGCACAGTAACTTTAGCACACTAGCTTCTACGATTGCACTTTTCAAAGCTTTAATGAAGTTAGTAGCGCTTAACTAATGTTGAATGAAAACACTTTTATGTCCAAGATGTGTTTTAGGTGAGATGCCTATGCAAGAATAAGCACTTAACATGCTGTTGTTTTCGTGACAAGGAAATTATCCCTTCCACCAAATAGAATAAGCCAGGCAAAAAGTAATATGAAGTAGTTGAAAGGAAAACTTGAACTTTACATCCCTGTATTATGTTAAAGATTATTTAACATGATCTTCTTTTGGTTAAAATATACCGATTTTTTGGTTGAAATAAATGGAGTGGGGAGAGAGAAGGAGGGGGGGAGGGAGGGAGAGAGATTGAAAAGCCTGTACTAAAATGCTAACACAGCTATAGCCCTTAGATGATACTTTAGCTGGGAAACAAGTATTGTAGTGGTACTCACCATTTTTTCTGTTTAGAAAAAAATTAATAACCTATAAATTTCTAGTGTTTAAAACAGGTATTTATTATTTAAGGTCTTAAATATGCCTGTGTTAAACAAATTAGGTTGTTTAAAACACTTTGCAATGAAACTTGACTTACAAATATATTTCCTATCCATGTTTGTTACAGTTTGAACAATTTAAAAACATAAATTCTGCAAACACTCTTAGCTTAGAGAACAATAGTGCTATCCGAATTCTCATAAATGATTTCGGGAACTATTTATAAGACTTTCTGTAGTGTTTTACCTAATGTCACACCAAATACTCCAGTTAATCACATTTCGCTTTACACATGGAAGAGCTGGGATGGTGAAAGGCTAAAACATTCTGGAAACTGTAGTGATTGGCTTTCCTATTTTGTTTGTGCGGCTGGCCTCTTTTTTTTTTTGGTGGTAGAGGACAGTAAAGAAACTTCTGGAAATCAGATAATGAATACAGAATACTTTGAGATGAAGCTCAGTGTTATTTAATCAAATTAGCACTGGGCTATTTTCTATAGTTTGTTCAAAATGGCTCATAGGAAGTAATTTATTTTTCTAAATATGCAAAGGATTGTCACAAAAGGAAAAATTTTGGTTAAGTGAATAGGGAGTCCTCTTCAAAAGTTTGTTTATGATTGTTTTTTTTTTTTCAATCAGAAAAATCTTTTTTTAAAAAAGACTTTATTTATTTTTAGAGAGAAGGGAAGGGAGGGAGAAAGAGAGGGAGAGAAACATCAATGTGTTGGTGCCTCTTACGCACCTCCTTCTGGGAACCTGTCCCACAGCCCAGCCATGTGCCCTGACTGGGAATCGAACTGGCAACCCCTTTGGTTTGCAGGTTGGCAGTCAATACACTGAGCCACACCAGCCAGGGCAGAAAAATCTTTTTAGATATAACCAGTCATACAATAGTGATGAATATCTCAGTGTGATTCCTAATGTAATACAATAATATTTAGATAAATTATTCCCTTTTGCTTAGAGTATTCAGCCATTGATTAAAATTTCAAAGACTTAACTAAGCCACTAATGCTTACAGTCTCTGATAAAATTTCAAGGGAACAAAAAAGACTATTTGGAGAATAAATAAAATAGAAACTGTACTGAATTTCTGATTTATTTTTAAGCTTCCTCTTTCCAAAAAATACATCCACAGTTAGACTCAGAGAAATGTTGTCCCCTGCCATTTTTTTCCATGAAGAAAATCACACACCAATCATGACACACATGCCTAACTTACCATACACACTTAACTTACATTTGGGACAGAAGGGGGTCAGCATGGCCCACCTTGGTCCGCCTAATGTCATTTTCAAATCAAGTCAACACTCTCTTTGGATTAATTAGCTGCTGATGGAGATTTGATAGAGGGAATACTGCAAGATCTCCTCATGATTAGCCTGACTTCTATATCTGGTAGATTATCCTGTTTAGTCTGTAAACACCCTTCTTCAGTGGCTGCTAAATGAAGATCAAATCGAAGAGAAACGGATTTTTTCCTTAATCGAGGGTTATCTTTAAAGAAGGAACCTTCCCATTCTTTAATAACTTCATCCACTTTCTCTGTCCTGAAATGATAAAATAAGCCTTTCTACATGAAGAAGTCTGGATATATTTAAAAATATGTAACATGCAGTCCATATGAAAAAAAGTAAGAAGTTTGAATGACTTATCATTCACATTTACATTTTAAGTTTCATGGACAGTTTACATCATGGAATTTATGACTTAACATGCTTTTAAAAATCATATGAATATAATTTCAAGGAAATCTATGGAAGTCTCATATTTTCGTGTTTTCTAGAAAAACGGTGAATTAAGGATTGAGCATGTCTTCATGAGTTTTTGTTTATGTATATTTACCCATGTCAGATTAAAAATGACTACATATGAAAATTATGTTTGGAAACATTCAGAGATTACCGAGATGACTCAACTGAAGTTGATTTCTTGGCATGTGTATTATCGTATTTTAGTCAAAATTACTTTACTTACTGGACGGTGCCGTGGGCTTCGGCGCTCTCCTTGGCCACGTTCCCGTTTAAAAGCGCTTGTCTGGTCACTATTTCCACTGCTTCATTCTCGCCCTTTTGTGGGACTTTCGTCGAGAAAGAGATTTCATTTATAATGGCTGTAGAAATTTCACGTATGAAATATGAAATGACAGTGTCGAGGTACGTACTAATCACAGTTAATTTATGTCAGAATTCATTTAAATATTGCTAATTTTTGCTTTGTCAGAGTGTTCATGGTCCCTCCACGTGGCACTTCAGTTTTCAGATTAGTTTACCTGTGTCAGAAACTCACCTGAAGGTAAAACAAAACCAACTCTGCTTGTAGGCTTTTGTTCTTTTTTCCCTCCTTGGATACAACCATAATATCTGAAATTGGAAAGAATTATATTATAGGAGCAACAATGTCCTGGCAGATAATCGAAACCAATGCTCACCAGTAAGAGAATAGATAAGTTGGAGTATATTCATACAATGGAAATACTACTTAGCAGTGACAATATATGAATTAAGGGTACACTGGGTCTCATGGAGTTCTCCCAAATATTACACTGAGTGAAAAAACGGTATATTGTAGCTAATTTTGTAAAGGTTAAATAATATACCAGACAGTTTCACGTTTTGTTTAGGGACGTATACGTATCAGTACGAAGGAGTTTGAGACTAACTAATAAGCGTCAGATTCCAGAGCCAGGTTCCGCGGAGGGAGGAGGATGCGCTGGGGCCATGTGGTGGGTGTGGGTGGGGCCACGTGGTGGGTGTGGGTGGGGCCATGTGGTGGGTGTGGGTGGGGTGGGCGGTGTCCACAGATTTCAACAGCTGCGGATGTGTTTCTCTGCAGAGCAGGGAGACGTGCGTACATGGAGTTCATGATATTTTTCTTGATACTTTCTTGCATACATTAAATATAGCATAATAAAAATCATATTATAGGGATATTGAAGACCAAGTTACCAGTATCCTGAAGGATTAGGAATTAAATAAAATTCACAACCCTTTGTTTTATTTAATAATAAATTATATAACACTATTTTAAGCACTTGACAAACATGAATTTATTTCATCTTCACAGCAGTCCTATGAGGAAGGTAATATTTTTCCATGTTATAGATGAGAAAACTGATGCGCAGAGAGGTTTAGTGACTTCACTGGCGTCACTCAGCTAGTAAGTGGTATATTTTGAATTTAATTTATGTTTTTCAAAGATTTAGTAAATGTCAAGACATTACAGGTTAAAGCAGTTTCATCTAGTTTTATGGAAGACTCAGGATTCTGGAGCAAGCAAAAATAAGGGTTTCTTTTTAAAGAAGTGGTTCATATATACAATGAAATACGAATTAACCTTAAAGAAAAAGAATAAAACCTTGTCGTCTGCAACGACATGGATGGACCTAGAGGGCACTGTGCTGAGAGAAGTAAGACAGAGAAAGAAAGACAAATACTGTGTGGTTTCACTTATATGTGGAATCTAAAAACCAAAATAAATGAATAAGCCCACCAGAAACAGATTCAGATACAGAGAACATTTTGATGGTTGTCAGAGGGGAGGGGGATGGGTGCAAAAGGCGAAGGGATAGGAAGTACAAATTGGCAGTTACAGGATAGTCAGGGGGATGTAAAGTTCAGTGTGGGGAATATGGTCAGTAATATTATAATAATGATGAACAGTGTCAGATGGGTCTATATTAGGTTGTATGCCAGAAACTAATATACTATTGTATGTTGACTGTGCTTGAAAACTTTAAAAAATTATTTAGAAAAGAATAAAGTTTTCTTTGTGTGAGAAAACGGACACTCGGAGGTTGTGCTCTGTTCACAGCCATATGACATTGTGAGTGAGTGCAGACTATGAAACTGAATTAAGTAAGAATTCCTCTCTGACAGCTGTTGTTATCGGGACATGTGGAAGTCTTCTAAGTCCCCCAGCACCACTGCCTTCCATGGCTGTAGTTCATATTCTGATATCTTGCTGGGTAATAGCAGTGGGCCTTTTTTGGGGGGTGTGTGTGGTGATAATAGTTTCCCAAACTTTCCTCGCGAATGGTCCATATAAGGCAATGACTAGTCCTAAAAGGTTTGCATGGCAAGGAAAGTGAGAAAGTTTTGAAAGGTCATTTTTGCATGAATTGGGAATTGTTTCCGTTGTGTGTTAGGCCTGATGTGCTGTCTGTCGTAGCTAATGTGCCTGATTTTGGCTGTTTTGTCCATAATTTGTGGAGGTTAGAAATAGTTCTTCCTCACATTCTTTGTAGGGTATACTCATTTCATTGAAGAAACTCAGCGAGTACGCCATGGTAATAATGGCCTTTTTAGATTCAGTTTCTCTGCATGCATCAACAGTGACATGAGTGACCCTGCATGTCTGGCCACTTGTCATGAACTGTTAGGGTATGAAGTACCTGATTTCTTCCTTTTCTAGCAGGCGGCGGTAAGTGGCTATTTCTTGTTCTAGCCTCATCTTCGTGTTGAGAAGCATCTCGTGCTCCTGAAGCTGCTTTTCGATGCCCCGCCTCACTTCCTGTAGCTCTTTTTCGAGTCCTTCGATCACAGCCTCCAGGTCTTGCAGCTGCATCTGATGATGCTGCTCGCTGGCTTGCAGGGAGTTTTCAAGGCCCCTTTCCTGTTTCATACAGATCATCGTCAGCGAGTCAGGAAGGAAAGCGTGTTCCCGAAGTCTGATCGGCAGTATCTGTATTCTTTTGTGTTATCTCCTTTCTTAAAAAGGTTGCAATAATGCTACATCACTTAAGGAAGAGGTATTTCCTTATAGCTTTAGGTATGACCTAAATATTAACAATCTATGTATTTTTATATACGTAGCTAGAGAGCTTCCTATTTCAAAGGAATGCTGTGATAATTCTTATGGAAAAAAACAAAAACAGAAACAAAACAAACCCCAGTGTGATTAACTTATTACTCTTATTTAATTTTTTAAGTATTGAAAATACAGACTATAAAATATCAAAGCCCAAGTGGACTGCTTGTAAAAAGCAGTTTAGGAAAGTGTTTAAATATTTTTCTATGAGACATCTCGATGGTGCGGGTGAGAGACTCCCCACCATGACTGTGGATAATGGCGAACGGCCTGTTGCCCCACCGCAACACTTGGAGAGCCCTTGGGCGATAAGCAAGCGCCACTTCCCTTTCCTAGGTGTGAACCCAACCTTGAGTGACTTGGTAACAGCCACTCCCACGAAGGAGGGAGGAGGCAGATGGACTGGGACCAGGGGTAGAATTCAGTGACCTTGATTTCTGGCTCGTACTGTGTTTCTCACTGTCAGGCGATGGGACTGTTTGCTTCCCCGTCTTAATCAAGTAACGCCGGGGACTCAGCGGGCCAGTCGCCCTGGAGATCGTTCTCACCACAGCGTGGAGGGACTCAATCTCCACTTGCAGGTGGTGCCACTGGCGCCGGGCTTCCTTGAGTTCCGCTCGCGCTGCCTTCAGGGCCTCTTCATCTCTGTCCATTTTTTTGCTTAAATCTTCTTCTAGCTAGAAGAGAGCCAGTAACCACGGTGACAGAGAAAGAAAGAGCTCTCTCGAAAATGAGACATTTAAAAGTAATGACAGAAAAATAGCCTAGAAACCTAATCATTTTTTTCTTTAACTTGTTAGATTACAACTGTATGTTTTGGTGCTTAGTTACTAATTAAATATGTGAGCCAGTCAGTGCTACTCTCAGCCCGTTTTCTCAGATGTAAAACGAACCTCAAAAATCTCTTCCTGCTATGGCAGTCTGTGAAAAGCAGGGAAATACACCAATTTTAAGGAAAAGTAACAGTTTATAGGACCTAAGTGTGAGACTTCTGACTTTTAACCTTTCATTATATGTGGCATTAATAAGGAAGAAAGATCGGAATTAGCTACTATTTCCCTCTATATTTTCTTATAGGTTGCTTTATAAAAGCAAATAAACTGCTCTGTATCCAAAATTAATCAATTATTGGACTGAGTACATAAACAGCCAGTCAACATTGCTGGAAAGTATATTATGAATAATTTAGAGAATTAAGTTACCACAGGCGTTAGAGATCCCAGAATAGATTTCTGTGTTAAGCTACCTCGCTGTTGGTTTTTCAATATGATCTTTTCGGAAGGCATGTTAATTCTGGGGATCTAGGTTAGTAGCAAAAAGGACTTCCTTATACACTGTTTTCTAAATATCTTCATATTAAGTAACAAATAGAATATTTTATATAATAGTTAGCTTTCAATGTTCTTATGCTGATGTTGAAATTAAGTGAAAGTATCTTTTGACAGAACTCTCAGCATTTGGCCCCCAAGAGCAATAGGAGCAGTGTATGAAATTGGTCGTAGTATTTTGAAGCAAAAATTATAACCTCTTTATGTTCTGATGAAATGCATTTTAAGATAAATTAATATGATGGTACAACAGATTCTTTTTTTTTTTTTAAAGATTTTATTTTTATTTATTTATTTTTAAAGATTTTATTTATTTATCTTTAGAGGGGAAGGGAAGGAGAGAGGAAGAGAAACATCAATGTATGGTTGCCTTTCCTGCGTCCCCTGCTGGGAACTGGCCTGCAGGGAACTGGCCTGCAACCCAGGCATGTGCCCTGACTGGGAATCGAACCGTGATTGTCTGGTTCGCAGGCCCGTGCTCAATCCACTGAGCTACACCAGCCAGGGTTACAACAGATTCTTTTCTAAAGGAAACACTGCAGTAATTGAAAGCCTATGAATAAAGTTTAGGGCAAGGCATCAGAGAACAGCATCCATATATTTCTCATGGTTTGTTGTTCTTAGCATTTTTGGCAACAGCAAGCAGCAACACCTATCAGAGCAACTACAAAAGAAAATTTGTGAGAATTTAGGAAATAGGAGTGCATAAAAATGATGGCATTTACTGGTCTTTTGGATTTTGGAATCAGCAGCAAGGCTTGTGTGGAAGCTAGATTCAGAAGATGGTTTCCAATGAACCACACTCCCCAACGTTCATGTCTTTGTGTGGTGGACTTCCACACCGAATCTGGGCTGACCCGTGTCTTGTCCTTCAGCCGGTAGGATGCGGCAGAAGTGGCAGTTCCAGGCTTAAGCCTGAAGGCGTCCTGACAACTTCCACACTTAGGGGAGCCCTGGACCCACATGTAAGAAGTCCAGGGGTTTTGTTGGAGGGATCCCGTAGAGAGGCCAGGTGGAGGGACAGCCTGAGGCCACATGGAGACAGAGACAGGCCCAGTTGTCTCAGCCAAGCCAGACTTTCAAAAACCCCATCAAGGTGCCAGACACGGGAATGAGCCACCCTGGATGACCCAGCCCAGTGGTGCCCCAAGATAACTGCTGTCCCAGCCAATGTCATGTGCAGACCTGGGAAGCCCACAGAATCACGACAGGAAATACAGTTTTTAAACAAATCTAAGTTTTGGGGTGGTTTGTTATATAGCAGTACATAACTAAAATAGCTTGTTTCTTTATTTTGTAGTAATTAAATAGGCTTAAATTTATTTCAGCTTTCTGAATTCTTTGAAAATAATCCTCTAAAGTAGATATGTTAATTGAAGCATTTCAGCATGGTCACTTGTAAACTAAATAACTTGTCTTTTTACTATTGCAAAAATAAAATGTTTATTTGGTTTACAGTCATTAAAAATTGTCATTATTCCCCCCACCTTTGTAAAAGGTTACTGAACTATTCCAACAGTTAAATATCCCAGTGACTTTGCTTAATCCAGGATACTGATCATTCTCTAGGAAGACTGACCATGTGACCCAGAGGTAAAATTTATAATGTTACTAAAAATGAATAGCTAATGGAGTAAAGTCCTATGATTTCCCAGTAATATATTCCCCCTCTTGGTGATGTTCTTAAGTAAACACTTTGCTGTACTGGGGTACTTGGAATAGAACTTGAACTCAGATATAATAGGTAAACTAAAAATAAATTTCTGAATTTCTGAATCTTTGTTTCTAAAGTATTTATTTGTACATTTGTTTAAGGATTTGAGACCCTAGTTAATTGCTAAAGGTGATTAACACTTTAAAACAAAGAAGTCTATAAAATTAGGATTTAGCCCTTATTTAACTTGGCTCCCTCTTGTTTTTAAAACTTCAACATTACATGCCAAGTATTGGAAATAAGCATTCTCATCTTATAGCACAAAAGCAGAAATCTATAATCTAAATGGAGCATCTATCAATTTGGGGAATTTGATTGTCCTAATTTGTATCAGAATTGTTCTGAATGCCATCGCTCACATACCCGGATAATTCCTATTTATAACGATCTGGTATAAAACTGAATTCATTAAGAGGTTTCGAAATATTTTACTTAGTTTTTCTCTACTTGCAATTTTAAAGATGCTGTTTGAATCATCTCTATAAATAACTCTGCAATAGCTTTGAAGGGTATGTGAGATGCTTCCTCCTGGGAGGGAGTCTAAAAGAGGTTCAAGTACACCATTTTACCGTGTGTTGACCCCAGGTCTTATTAATGATAGCCACCTCATAATTTCTAGAAAAAAATTAAACACACCCATCACCATTTATTTCATGGCCATTTAACAGTGTCCTCACAGCATTGCCCCCGAAAGTCCCCGTCAGATTGCAGTACAACCTAAATTCCTTCCCCAGTAGATGCTGCATTGAAAAGGAAATACTGTACCTCAGAGAGGCCGGGGCAGGAATGGGGTAGACATGGACTGTCTCCTTATCCTGGAAGGTGCCTGTCTGTATGAAATCATTACCTGGATCCTGGTTGAGAGCACGGTCTCTATCTGATTTCTGGTGAGGAGCTTTTCATAGTTTGCCCTGATCTCATTGAGTAGCTGGGACAGCTCCATTCTTTTCCCATCCTCCACCTTGGCTAACTGAACCTTATCGATAGGATGAGTTGCGGCAGCAGCGCTGCTCTGGCTGCTTCCGAGCCCAGAGCCCCGAGGAGCCTTAAAGAGGCAGAGCTCCTTTTTTGGAAGCCACGGAAATTCCTGTGTTTGTAGTCAATTATGCAAATATTTGGCAAACCCTTTTCTTCTGCTGTTGTTGGAATAGAAGTGACAGACCCTCCATAAAGGAACCAAAAAAAAAAAAAAAAAGAAAGAAAGAAAACATCCTCAGTATTCCCGAAGTGGTTCTCTCTAAAACCGAGCACTTTTTTGGGGAAAAAGGGTAATTTTTCTTATGGGAAGGAAATGGGGCATAATAAAAATAAAGTTATATTTTGTTTTCCCAAGACATTGCATGGAAATCAATCTGGGCCCCAAAGCATGATAGCGGAACTTTTCCTTCAGTTTTTCTTACCACTTGAATTCTTTAAACAAATGCTGTGGCAGGTCATTAGGATATGTTGTCAGTCTGGGATATTCTGACAGTTACTGGAAAAAGCTACCACCAGCTTCCGATGACAATTGTCATCAGCCACAGGACTGATAGATTGCATTTCCCTGAAGTGCATACCGTGTGCTCAGGTGGGCTGCTGGCCTGACAGCAGGTGTGATGTACGGAGGTGAGTTCCTGAAGGCACATTACGCACGACGCCAGAGCTGGAGGTGGGTGCCAACAGAGTACGAGAGCTGAGCGTTAATGTTTCCCGCACTTTAGCAAGGTTAAAGAAAGTGCCACCAGATGGTCCCTGCAGCGGCTGTATTCGCTCAGGTACGATTTACTGTGGGGTTGCTCCTTCATCAGCCAGTACGTAGCTAACGACAGCTCATACTGGTAAACATAACATTTGTGCAGCTCTTTGAACTTGAAAAAGCACCTTTACCTCTATCATGCCATCCAGTCTTCACAGCCCTGTCATTGTGGAACCGGAAAGATGGCAAGCCTGGGGCAGGATCAGGTGTCTTGCCCAAGGTCCTAGGGTGATGCAGGGGCATTGTTGGGACCGGGACTCTGATTCCTTGGTTGTGTCCCATATACTGCTTCTTCTGCCTCTGCATTCTCCCTCTCCCCACCTAAATTTCCTGTTTAATCTGGCCAGCTGGTTGCTTAGATGTAACTGAAATCGTCTGAGAGTAGATCTGTCGTTACCGTCATTTGTAGAATGGCCTGCCTGAAATTGTATCCAGAGCGGCACAGTGCAGGGAGGAGTTAGTCCTTGGCTCCAGTGATCACAGGACCTTTGAATGTGCATGGCGCTGTTTTAATTTCTGTGTAAGTACCACGCGCTAACCGATTGCGCCACTGGAGCTCCTGTTTCAATTTCTGAACGAAGGCACTGCTGGCTGGCCCAGGCTGTGCCAGGCTTTCCCACAGTCCCCTCCGAACAAAGCCGGTGTTCACACCCCTGCCCGGAGGGGGTTCCACAGTCATTCCTGTGCTCTGTTTAATCTGCTCCTGCCGCTCTCCAACACCCCGCCCCACCAGTCACAGGGACTGGTCTAGGGGTTGCCACTGGACAGAAGGACAGGCAAGCCATAGGTCAGAGACCTATGATGTAGCTGATATAAAAGCTCACTTGTGAGGGCCGCTTATGATAACCTAGGCCAAAGTAATGCTCTATCTGGGTAATTGCAACAGAGACATATAAATAGAATCAGGCACTTGGTAATGGGAGGAGAAGGAGGAAGAGAAAGAATTGCTCTCTTGTGAGTTCATGTAGCTCCTCTAACCTCGGCCTAAAATACAGAGAGTGGAACTAGATTCCACAGAGCGGCGGTTTTGGTGATCTGCGTTTTAAACAGGCGTCCGGGATAACCTGTGCACCCTGAAGCAGTGCTTTCCAACAGGAACACAGTGCAAGCCACACGTGGGACTTCAAAGTTTCTAGTAGCCATAGCAAGAGATATAAACGGAAACAAGTGACACCAATTTTAATGGATTTGATTTAACCTGATATATCCAAGGTATAATTACTTTAACATGTAGTCAGTATAAAATGTTCTCGAGATAGTTATATTCTTCCCTTTCAATACTGTCTTTGAGATCCGATGCCTATTTTTACAGCCCTTTTCAGTTTGGACAAGTCACACTGAAGGTGTTCCGTGGTCGCGTGCCTAGTGGCCACCGTGTTGGTAGTGCGGCTCCAGTGTCTGGCCCTACTGGTTCACACGGATGTGAGCTCTACCACTGGGGCCCTTCCCACGCTCCCTTGACTAAGGAAATAGGGCTGGATTTTTTTATGGGGAGGAGGGGGGTTAGCAATTAGAAAGATTCTACAAGCATATGAGCAATGAAGTTAACTATTTCTAGATCTCAAATGTCATTTTTTTCAAGGAAAAACATTGCTGATGTACTTAAAAAAAAAACACAAACCCCTCACCTGAGGATATGTTCACTGATGAGAGACAGAGAGAGAGAAATGTAGAAACATTGACCGGTTGCCTCCTGCAGGCACCCTGACCAGGAACAAAACCGGCCACCTTTTTGGTGCAGGGGGTGATGCTCCAACCAACTGGGCCACCCAGCCAGGGCTTGCTGATGCACTTTTTAGAAATATCACTCTTTATTAAAAAGAGTTAGCAGCAATAGCTCACTGAATGCTATGGCATATACAAAACCGCAAGGTCCATGGACTTCTGAAGGCTTTAAGTCTAGTTCTCTCATCCCTCAGAAATCCTAACACTGCAGATGAGCAACACTGTCATTCGTATAGGGAGCATCGCGAATCCACTTTAGTTATTAGAAAGGGAGATCGTTTGAAAATAGACTTTGTTGCTAGGAAGAAATTAGTCACACTGCACCTCACAACTGCCAAAATGTGGTTGAGGACATCGGTTCCAGGGACATTCATGAGAGCGAGACCCCAGACCCTCAGGAGTTAAGAATTCGAGAACGGAAGGCCATCCCTTTATTTACTTGGTCACTGGAGGGGCCCTGCTTGCACAGGGGTGTGCTGGGCGCAGTTAAAGTGCTAGAGGAGTTCTGAAGAGGAGAGGTGGCCTCTTGGGGCACGTGGTGGCCAGAAAAGGTGCAGAAGGCATTACAGAGGAAACTGGAAAAAAAAAAAAAAAGTGGTTCAGGGAAAGGCCTGCTACCAAGGCTGGGTTGGTTATATTTGGTAGGTGATGGGGGGTCACTGCTGGTTTATGAAGTGGGGGGTCACATGGTTGGGTAAATTTGGGAGCCGTGCAGAAGGATTCAGAGTTAAGGGCACCAGTGAGCCAGCCAGCATTCACGGAGAGGAACATAAAGCTATTTTTGCCCATGAAAAGAGCCATAAAGAGGTCATAGAAAATGGAATTTGAGTAATGGGATTAGAGTAGGAGGAGCAGGCATGAAGTCAGTGAGGTTTAGCAAGTGACAACTGACTCTTCAGGGAAGGAGAGGAGAGGAGAGGTGACTCAGATTTAGACTCTGCAACTAGAACAGGGAAGAGAGGAAGATAATCAGATTAAATTAAACCAGACTCTTAAAGCTGCATGATGGGGGCGTGGCGAGGGGGTGGTGGTGGGGGGGGGAAGACCTGAGGTTAAGTGTCTGTTTGCCAATTACTGGAAGGTGAGCCTTGTGGAAATACTGACTCTCCTTGAACTTCAATTTCCTTATCTCTTACATGAAATGAATAACACAACCCTCAGACCATTGCTACTACTGACATTGATCGGTACCATCATCATCATCCTCATTTTATAGATAAAGATACTGAAGCGCAGAGGCTACCCTTTGAGCACAGCTGGTCTTTAGATCCTTGTTACTTAGACTGGGAGCTTGTTAGACATGCAGACTGCCAGGCCCGGCCCTGCCCCAGCCCTACCAGACTGGAATCTGCATTTTAGCAAGATCTCTAGGTGATTCGGGGGCACACTGAAGTTCCGGTAAATCCCTGGTTCTCAAACTTGTCCGTGCATTGAAATAACTTGGGGAACTTGAAGAATGATGACGGCAGTGTCCCCTTCCCAGAGGTTCTGATTCAATTAGTTCAGGATGTTGCTGGGCATCAGAATTTTAAAACCTGCCCAAGTGAGTCTAATATGCTGTGAAGTTTGAGAATCACTTATAAATGCTGTTTCCTTCCACTCCTTTCCTTTTCATACTTCACCAAGAGGAAGTGGGTCGGTAGCACGAATGTCCGAAGTCTGACTCCCGAAGTTAAACACTGGCAAGTTTCAGTATTCATGTTGTAGTTGCTACAAGTTCAAATCTATCCGCTCAGGTAGAGAAGACAGATTCATTGCTTTATTCTTTATTTTGAGCTCCCATTTGGTAGAGGGAGTACCTTTTCTCTAAGATGTTGCATCAGAGATTTGGGGAACTTCCATCGATGTGACAAGGGGACTGTATCGTCCTTGAGGTCATCTGTCCAAGTCTGTGCTAAGTCAGTCATTGCTCTTCCAGTTGAAAACAAAGTCTCCCAACCCAGAAATGCTCTTCATAAAGGCAGTAGAAAAAGAAAACACTTTTGTTATCACGTAAGCCTTAAACCAGAACATGGTGCACACCGCTGGCACTTTGCTAAGCAATTGCAAAGACAGAGCAGTGTCTCCCTCCCTTATACAGCCAAGCAGGCATTACCCACTACACACATGTTCTCAAGGTAAATGATAACCAGTCCCCAAGTAAGGGGGCCTGATGGCGCCCCTCGGTAGGCAGAGTTCATCTGGTCATTGTGGTGGCTTGCCTGGTGGTGGGGGTGACTGTCTGTGGTCACCAATGGGCTTCACATAAGGGAAAAGTACGCTTCTTTATAACAAGAGATTGTTTTTGGAGAGAGGCTCCTACCTTCTTGCCACAGAAACAGGGAAGCAGAGGTGCTATTTTCCTTAGAAATTTACATTCCAAAGATACGGGTCCCAGGTCCTTGAGAAAAACATTCTGGGGTCATAAAGTTGGCTAAAGGGCTTATTTAGCTTTTAACAAGATTTACTTACATTTCCAAGAAACTGAGAAAGAATTGACAATCGCAAGGTATCTAAAGTAAATGCTCTAAGGGAAGGCAGGGGAGCTGTGTGTCTCCCCTTATTGCAACAGGGAGAACGAGGTCTCTATTTTTAATTTGCGTTTGTCCTTGCCTTGCTTCACCCGCTGCTCTCTTCCATACCTCCTTCCAGGCTCGAGGGCTTGAGCGTCGCTCTGCCGCTTCAGTGTGCCCACGGCAAGGAGACATCGAGTGGGCGGGGCTCCATCTGCCAGACACACTGCGCAAGTGTAACCCATTTGGCTCTTGTCCTTTCCTGGGGCCACTGTGAAGAAGCAGGGCCCAGAGCTCCTGAGCAGTGAGCTTCTCAAACTTACCTTGCATTTTGCTGCTCTGCAGGGGCTCCAGCTCAGAAGCACGTCCTGGGCTCCTCTCTCGGGACCCACTCTTGCTACTATTTGATCACTTCTTTCTCCTCTCTCCCTTCGGATCAGGGGGCGCTTGTCTGTTCTTGAGGGTTCTATTCTAGTCGTACGTCCCAAGGGCTGCCTGTCTGGTTCACGGGTCTGTTGTCACTTTCTAGCTCTGTGGCTGACACAGAGAAAGCAGACAATTAAATTTTGTAGAATGAAAAAAGATAGAAGAAAAAAGAAAGAATCAAGCAATGAATGCTTAAATAAGTGGAATAACACACTGAGTTTTTTCTTCCTCCCCTTTCCCTCTCTAAGAATCAATAAATAAACTTAAAAAAAAAAAGAAAGAACAGTTAAAAAACAGAAAAAAAAACCAAAAAAGAAGGCAAGAAAAAGAAAATAATGTATAGAATGAACGCTGTTTTCTGAACATTTCGTCTGGGCCCTGGGCCCTCTTCATTCTAAAACCCAAACTGGGGAATCGCCCTGTGCTGGGTTCGGAGCAGAAGTCTCCTTGGCAGTGAGTACAGAGGTATCTTTTTTGTTGAAGGAAGTTGGGGGGTGGTGAGGGGGATAAACTACCAGGAGACAGGTGGCTCAAAAACGTTACATTTTTAATATTTATAAGTTCAAGTAAATTAGACATGTACGCATCCTCCATCTTGGTGAGTTTTTACTAAGCAATGTGCTAGGATTTTGGCATTAAACTTTGGGGGAAATAACATCACTTCTAAACGGTTTGCATTATCCTTAAGATTGGACTTTTGCTTTAAGGAGGAAAGTAATGGACTAATTTATTTTTATGTAATGCATTTGGGCACGTACATTTCAGCCTTTAAAGTGCCTGATTTTGGTAAAAGTCAATTTTAAAATCCTGGTGTTTCTAAACTTCTTTTCCCTAACCGATGACTCAGGCTCTCCTGCCTTCTACTGAGTGTATATGAGGGAACATTTTAACACAAATGGGAAGATACCACATGTTTGATTTCAAACCCTTATCGGAGATGGCACGGTCATTGTGTGGAGTGTTTTCTGGTGAAAGAAGTAGTGGGGTGGAAGAGGCCCAGAGCAGAAAAATCAGGGGGTGGAAAGTTTACAGAAATTCTTCTGTGTGGCTTTCAACATCCACCCAAGCAAGCCTGTGTCTGGGCGTGAACCTTCTCTGGCAGTAGGGTGGTCGCTTCCTGGTCCTGGGTAGAGGCCATGGCAGCTGCGATAGTCTAGTCAGTCCTCAGAGTGGAGCGTTTATGTGTTTCAGATACGCTGAACGTGGGGCCAGCTTTGGTTTTCCTCTTTCAACCTCTCCAGTAGCTTCTCCGTGACAGACTGTGTAGGAAGCGTATGGAGACCCACGTGGATCACATATAATATAGTTCCTACCTGTAACCCAAGTTCATGTATCTTTGGATGTTATTTTTGCTTCTTGGCCTTCACACCATGGCTTGAATTATTGATTTCTATTTTCAGGCTTAAAACGCCATCCCCTCGCCCACGCTGGCTCGATGAACATGCGTGCCTCTTCCAGAAGCCACCTCCCTGTATCCTGTGCCCTTTCTGCCTTCTGACTTCTCCACGGTGCCCGTTGCCTCTTCGGCGTTCTGCTGCCAGGGAAGTGCCCGCCCACTGTCTCTGGGCTGGACTCTGCTCCCCGACAGCTGCTCCCAGATGCCCCTGAGTCTGTCTCCCCGGCCTCCCCTTCTTTTCTTGCTTTCAGCCTGGCAGGCAGGCAGGCCATCTCTAAGTGTCTGAGCGCCGTCCAGCTTCTCAGCAAAGCCAAGTTGTCTCGCTTTGGAGGATACATGTGCATAGCTCCCAGCACACTTGCGCTTCTGTGTACACGTGGACTCCCTCTTCAGTGAGCTTGATGTGCAAAAATAGGGTCCTGGAAGTGGTCTATTTAGGCTTTTTACAAAGACGCATTTTACAAAAGAACTTTTAGCGGTACAATTAAAAAAAATTATGCTATATTTCCTCACCAGCTTGGAAGATGCGGTAATTCAACCTTGACTATTAAGTGGGTGGCATTTAAAACATAAAAATTAACAAATTTTAGTTGCTTCACTACTTTAAGTGAGGTTCAAAATGCTTGTAGTTGTCTCCTCCTTAACCAGCCTGAACATCTCAAGGGAAGAGCACACGTCTTACTCCCACTAATCTAGTGGGTTTTCCCACTAATCCCTTAGACTCAATGCTTATTTAATGCTTTTGAACAAGTGAGTAAATATCAGAGTAGACTATCTTATCTTGAATATGAAATGATTACTCTTATACTTCTCTTAAAAATATGTTGTGAGTTCTGGAAACATTCATTGCTGCGTTCAGGCTTGTTTTGACTTTCTCATTGTATAACGAAGGAGTTGCTCTGGTGGGGATTACTGCTGCGTATTTAGGACAGTGAGATAATCTTGTCCTCTTGGGCGTGGACCTGTGTTCGGTTTAGAGACTATAATGCAGCACACCAGCAGCCATTCAGTTTGATAGAACTTAATTACATAGGTCAGCGATTTTCAAACCTTTTCATCGCATGGCACACATACGCTAATTATTAAAAATCTGCAGCACACCCCAAAATATTTTTTTTGCCAATCTGTCAAAAAATAGATATAATATTAATTCATTCACACTGGATGGCTATTGTGTTATCATTTTTAAAAATTTTACTTTGGGGGGGGTGGGCTGGGATGGGAGTAAAAGACATTAAGCTGTACTTAAACAATAATTAAATTAAAAAAATTTTATTTACTTATCTTTAGAGAGAGAGGAAGGGAGAAAGAAAGGGAGAGAAACATCGATGTGTGAGAGATACATTGCTCAGTTGCCTCTCGCACAACCGATACTGGGGACCTGGCCCACAGCCCAGGCATGTGCCCTGACTGGGAATTGAACCAGCCACCTTTCAGTTCACAGGCTGGCACTCAATCCACTGAGCCACACCAGCCAGGGCATGCTGTCAGTTTTTTCTTTGACAGTCTAAGGGAAAAAGAGGTCAGTGTCCCTGACTAAATAGTCAGCTACAGCATGTTTTCAATTTTTTTGCGGCACACCAGTGAAAAATCGCTGACTCAGTAGATCGTATTACAGGAATATAATACTCCTACTAATGTGAATGGTTGGAGCATTCAGAGAAAGCTGGAGTTACTATTGTGCTCACTTCAGCAGCACGTGTACTAAAGCTGGAACGTCACAGTGAAGGTTGGTGTGGCCCCTGTGCAAGAATGACATGCAGATTTGTGAAGCGCTCCATTAAAAAAAAATCATTGTCTTTGAACTCTCCCTCAGCAGCCAGAAGACTAGCTGAGTAGCTAGTCTTTTAAGCATGAGAATGCTTACAAGATGTTCAATGAAGTCAGCACTGGTCGAGAAGAAAATGTCTTCTATTTGCGTTGATAAATTCTCAGTGTTAATCTTGAAGATTGAGTAAAACAGAACCCCCCCTTTTTTCAACTGTGTGATAGCTTTGAGGCTTGTTCGGAGGTTCTAGCAGGGAGGTGCAGATCCTGGTACGCCATTGACTGAAGGAAGGTTCTCTCCTCCATCAGGAAGATTGTTCTCTTAGACCCAGTCCGCAGCTCTGGGAGGGATGCGCACGGATCAGTGAGGCAGGAAGGGGACCCCTGCCTAGCCAGCCAGATCAACCAAATCCAACCTGGCGGTCTCTGGGGTGGCAGATGTCACAGCCGGATTGCCCTCATGTCCTTTGTGATTGCTTTGGTAGTTTAGGTACATCACCTTTTTCCTTTCCATGAACCTTCAAATAGTTAGCAATCAATACATTTTGAGCTGTGTGTGAAAAATAGTCTTGGTATTAAGACAACAGCATACATGACTCATTCACTCATTTGGTGCTTCACCCAGTTGCTGCTCTCTTGAAGACTGTAGTCTGCAATATTATGCTCATTTTGTGGGACAAAGTGTCCTGAAATTTGTGAACATTTAAAATTTCCTTTTCATTTTTTGGCCCCCCTGTTTAATTTCCATTTCTCTTGGGCTTCTTATGCTAGTGGTCCATTCAATTAAAAATGTTTTTCATTCAGTACTAACATTTTAAGAGTTTAATACATTTAAAGATGTCTTTTGGCTTACATTGTAAACAATTACATTTGGAAATGAATACATTTTCTGAAATTTAGTCTTGTCTCTATGAACAAGAAGACTGTTGGCAGGGCAAACCCAGTCACCCTTCACTGGGTCCCCATTCTGTCACACCTTTACAAGCCATTTTCGGACTCTTGCCTTTAGAAAAATTATTACACTAAATTCTTTAAGCTTCAGCTCCTTCTTAATCACTTTTTTCAACTGTCTTCACTCATCAGCGGCTCAATCCATCTATTACTGCTGACTCCAGATGTGAAATTTGGTGATATGTTGACATACAGGCACCACAAGTTTAGTCGCCTCTGGAAAATCATTATCTCCGACACTCCTCTAAGTAGCCAGGAAACAGTGACTCATACCTGGAAAGCCATGGTCATTGAAGTCAGCCGTGGTGGAGACTTAGGGAAACATTTTCCGTTCTCTTCGAGAAATCTAAAGTGGGAGTCTTTCAAGGTTAACTTTGATCTTTTTTCAGTGGTATGATTCCGTATTCTGCCTTTGATAGTTTAACTATACTACTTTCTCACTGTCCTTGAATATTATGAGCAACTGATAACTGTTTTTTGAGTTGAGTCAAGTACCTGTAAGACAGACTTTACTTGATTTCTTTCTGAATATGGCATGTGCATTTTTGTTTTGACTCACTTCTGGAAAGGATTTCTTTCTTTTTTGTTCGTATCAGGTAGTGTTCCTGTTCACTTTGCAAGAAAGAAGGTACAACACACAGACATTTTCTCTCTTCTAATCTAACTTCTCTGTCAAGTAGAACGGATCATCTTTTTCACTCAGAAAAGGGGGCAAGGTTTTGAGATTGCGTGGAAGGAGGCGGGCGTCTCCTTCTTGTCCTTCGGACCAAGCCGAGCATTTTGTACTATGGGGACATTCGCTGCGTCTCAGCTGCTTTGGTGGCTGTGAGATTTGCAAAATAGGGGCTGATATCTGCAGTCAATAATTTCGCTTCCAGATGTTTTCCACACATTAAATGGAAACTTTCCTATCTGAGCTATTAATTGAAGAAGCCCAAGATCTTGCATTTTTTCCTTAAGAGCTTTAAAAATACACTTCATTAGGGAATATAGTATTTAAGAAACACATTGCTGAGGTGAAATCATAAAATTATCTTTGTGCACAAATTGGTTTTTGGTGGATTCACCCAGGAGGAGATTTTTACACTCTATGGCTCCTGGAGACTCTAGTTCTGTCTCCAGGGCCTAAAACACGTATGTTCCGGTTCATTCATCTCAGTCACAGCAGAGCTGGCTGCTGGGCAGCGGCAACCTGCTGCTGTAGCCCTGTGCCCTGAAATACGTAACAAAGCAGAGTCTGTCCCTGAGATAATTCCCCTCCCCAGGACTGTGATGAATATTTATTAGCTTCCCAAAGTGAACGTGCTCTCTTTGTTTCTTAGGATACTCTGTATTATAACTCTATGTTATACGATATTATAACTTATTATATTTGGCTGTTGCAATTTCTTAAAAATGGGTCCCAGAGCTTTGGACAAGTCCTATGACGGATCAGCTGGAGGTACCATCTGGAACGGCAGTGGTCCTTCCCAGCCGACAACCAGGGTTTCCAGAATGAACTGGATGGAGGTCTTCCCTGCCCTCCCACCTCTGGGTACCTCCTGCATCGTGTTGAGAAAGGTGATGGAATTCTCCTCAAAGTTGCAAATCATTTCCTGGGAAGTTCATGCAGAAGTCCATGTAAATTTTTCTTTTTTAAAAATTTTTATTGAATTGTTGTTCAAGTACAGTTTTCTGTCTTTTACTCCCATCCCAGCCCACCCCCCTAAATTTTTCTATTGTAATTTATAGATGTACGCTTGCACAATGTTACCATAATACCTTTTTTGGGGGGTGTTCTTTCTATTGCCCTTTTCAAAAGTAGCTATGGCAGTGTGACTGTCATTCCAGTAATTTGTTTCATTACTTGGTGGATCTGCTGAGCACCACCCAAGTCTATGGTGTCCTTGACAAGCAAGCGGAGCCATGCAAAGCACCTTCTAACCTGGTTTCGTAAGGAGCTCTCAAACACTCTCACATTCCTTGAGGCTCAGTCAGCAGAATAAGCACGTCCCCTCTCTGGGAGTCCAGGTACTCACCTGCGACAGGTGAGTACTCCAGCTGGTCCTTTATGTGCAGTTTAAACACTAACAAAGATGGGGTTGCGGCGCTGTCTCAGTGTGTGCTTCTTTCCACTTCGTCATTTCACACAACACGCGAGTACTGGGTTTTATAGCAGAACCTGGTCTCTGTGTCCTGTTCTGCAGGTGGTGAGTGAGAGCCGCTGATAATTTTTTTAAGTGATTTATTACTTGCAGCTCTTTATTACTTGAGGAGATTATTTGGAAAACATCACTGGAGCCCTGTCCTAGGTGATTTAGATTCATCACTTTGTCTCTACTTGTCTTTTGGACTCCATCTAATTCCATAAAGTCATTAAGCAAGTTTGGGCCACTTTCTATGGCGTCTCAAATCCTTTGGCTGCTTCTTCTTCTCTGCTTACTGTACACTTGATTTCTTGTTTCTAATCTCTGTGAGGACGGATGCCTCTCCCAGTGTTCTCTCTGTTCTTGTCCCTTGCCCCTTGAGTTCAGAAAGACAAGGACAACCTTATTATGAATCTGGATCAAAAGTCGACAGATAAAACTTCATACGCAAGTAGGCGCGGGCTCTTCCTTCTTATGGAGTAATCTGACTCTTAGGAGAAAGAAACACTTTCTCTTAATTTAAAAGTTTACTGGAGAGCCGAACTTCATTTTCAAAATAGAGCATCTGCTTGTTTTTGTGGTTTTTAAAATAATTTGGGGCCAGGTAATAATATGTGAACATCCTGTTCTTAACATTTTACTCAGCGCTATAAATATTTTCCATGATCCAATATGGTCTAATAGTTTCAGTTTTAAAAATCGAGCTTGCTTTTTTCCCCCCAAGTTTAATTTTTTAAATTTAATTATTGTTCGAGTACAGTTTTCTGTCTTTTACTCCCATCCAAGCCCACCCCCCCAGTGCTCCCCACCTCCCTCCCATTTCCACCCCCTTTAGTTGTTGTCCATGTGTCCTTTATACTAGTTCCTGTAAATCCTTCCCCCTTTTCCCCTGAAATTCCCTCCCCTCTCCCCTCTGGTCACTGTCCCCGTTCTCTATTTCATTGTCATTGTTTTTGTTTTGCTTGCTTGTTTGTTTTGTTGTTTAGCTTCCTGTTAAAGGTCATATGGTATTTGTCTTTCAACACCTGGCTTATTTCACTCAGCATAGTCCTTTCCAGTTCCATCCCTGCTGTTGCAGAGGGTAGGAGCTCCTTCGAGCTTGCTTTTAACGCATTATGCTGCATCTCAGTACATTCTAGCTTTTCCTTAATGGTAAACAACCATTTAGTACTAATGCAGCATCTTAACACATGCACAGAATGAAGGTTTTCACCTTAAAGTTTTCAGAGTACCCGCACACTGTTGCCCTTGACAGGAGGAGGAGACTAGCCACGAGCACAGGTCCCAGGTGTGCAGGACCAGAAGACTGGATCTGGGGAGCTTTGCTGAGTGAGGCTTCCTGATGTGGCGGCTGCGATGGCCGAGGGGCCAGAGGCTGCACTCCGCTGGTCTCCATTCCTGTCCTGCTGCTATTAGTCCAGTGGATCAGCTGGTTCATATTTCTTAATTTTTCAGTATAGGACAAACCTCCAAGATATGAAATTCTAATTATTATTCTAGTTTTTGATTACAGTTCTCATTCAACACTATTTTGTTTAACTGTCAGGTGTGCTGCACGGCAGATGGACAGTCACATACTTTACGAAGTGTTCCCTCTGACAATTCGAGTGCCCACCTGCAAGGTTGCATTTACTGTACTGGCTCAGTGGAAAACAAGATTCAAGACAACTTCACATTGCTCATTTCCTCTAAGTAGTGGTTTCATGCTTGGCTATTTACTTTAGTCTATGGTTAGCTATTGAAGAAATCTTGTTGTGCCCACGGGTTCATTTCTATATTTTATTCAGTGTGCCTAGAAGATGAAAAACTACAGTTAGGTTGTCTTGATTGTTAAGGTTTGATACTCCATATAGCTGCTAGTGGTTTTGTATTTGGAGGTACAGTTTACATGAAATATATCCAGGTTCATCCTGTTGTAATTTTAAATTTGATTATTTCTGCCAAGTCCCACGTTCTTTTCTTGAGAATTGGTTTGCAGGGTTGCTTTTCTAATTTGTGACCTGTTCATATCAAGTCCGTCAAATGGGGGAGTTCTTACGCAGCCTGTTTTTGGCTTACATCAGTTCTTCTTGGGACTGATCTCAAACCGCCTCCTACCTACTGTAACAGCCTCATTATCCCAAGCGAGACAAGGTGAGACAGCCACGTGGACCACCCTCAGGGTGAAAGACCTCAGCAACGGAGAGTGGAGAAAGGAAACACTACCTTGGCCAAGTGACAAGTTTTTGGCTAAGAAGCGTGGCTAGATTTGGTACAGGAAAAGAATCTGAGCATCTCTTCTCGCTGGGGCTTTCAAAGTTTTCAGAAATCTGGCTCTGTATCACATACCCCACCCTACCTCCCAGGACTTTTATCGCGACCAGTCTCTTAGACACCTTGCAACCACGCAGCGTCAGACCGCGGTGGCACTGCTGGTGAACGTGGGGGAATCAAGCCCTTCACTAGCAACACCCTTCAGTGTTTTCCGGTCTTTTGCACTTTAGCTTTCTTCTCCATCTAAGATGTAGCTTTCTCGAAGAGGATAATTCTAGTTCCTTCTTCGTGGGCTCAGGTGTTGGCTCTGGTTTTAGGGACACTGAGTTTGATTTCAGCTAGCACTAAGTTCTGTGATGTCGTTAAAAATGTCACATACAAAATGACTGTAATTTTGATTTTTGCGAAGAGGGTATGAATGAATGAATGAATGAATGAATGACTATTTGTATCTAGCTGTAGCTAGAGCACAGCTGACAGCGTCATTTCTAGATAAAATGTTAAATTTCTTTAGAAAATTTCAGTAATAATTTAATGAACTTGCAAAAGTAAGTTTATTGAAGCATAGAAACAGAGCAAAGTTGTCATTTCAACTTTTTCAAGAGCATTCTTTTTGAATAAAGATTTTACTTATTTTTAGAGAGAGGGGAAGAGAGGGAGGGAGAAGAGCATTCCAGAAATAAAAGAAGAGGCTGCAGAAGAAGTTGGTTAGCATCTACTTCCGCGCAGAAGCCGTTCCCCGACGTTATCCAGAATGATGGCTACATTGATGTAGTATCTTCGTGTGTGTCCTTTAGATTTCTTTTTCTCTGAAAGACGCTGTTATTGATCTGGAAGCTGCTCAATTGACTTTCACCTCAGAAACATTGCTGACTTTAGATGAGACGACTTTGCCATCCACCACCTCCTCTATGATGGTCTTAGTCACTCTCGTCTTGCTTGGGTCTGAAAATCATAGAACCACAATGTCAGCCTGGAAATGGTCTGGGGAAATGCAGGTGTATTCACGGAGTACGTTCTCTTTGGGTAAGGTTACATGAACAACAGTATATGCTTTTAATATGACAAGCAAAACATGTTTTTACTTTTCAATGATAAAGTTATGGACATTCAAAACATGCTTACCTCTTCCTTGGCTGGAACAGCTTTCAGATCTTGAGTCACCAGACACAGAATCCCTGGATTCCATGTTTCTGGATCCTGAGTTTCTGAAATCAGATCCTCCAAAACAAGAACCACTGGAGAAAAAAAAAAAAAAGAATTGTTCTCCTTTGCCTTTGGCCAAGGCGGAAGAAATGCCCCATGCAGAGGGCTGTCCGTGATGAAGGCGGATGTTATTTGAATGGACTGTCCAAGCCCCTTTTTTGGTTTCATCACACATGCACACCAAGGCACGCCTGTTGGCGCACACGTGACTTTCACTTACCCTCCCTCTCCGTCGAGCAGGCGGCGGTAAGTCTCGATCTCCATCTCCAGGCGGGTCTTGACGTCCAGCAGCTGCTCATATTCTGCATTCTGACATCCGGTCTCGCCCCGGATCTGGCAGATCTGCTCTTCTAAGCTACTGATCTGCATCTGAATTTCTGACAGCTGAGCCGCGTAGTTAGCCTCCGTGTCGGCCAGGGTCCCCTCCAGGGAGCTTTTCTAAGAGATAGATAGATACACAGGTAGAACAATCATGATGACAGTAAGAAGTCATCAATGATTTTTAAAAATTACAGAATTTTATAAGGTCCTGGGAGATGTACACTTTTGCCGAGTTACAAGCTATATCATTATACATCACTGTTTTCTTAACTTTTGTTGGCATTACTTTTTTAAAAACTAAATCTTTTCCAGAAACAGGGTATATCATCTTAACTTGGAATGTTTAGTGCTTTCTGTGACCACAGTACAGCCCTTCTTAATACTGCTGTCGTTATGTGCCAAGTGGAACATCTTGGCAAAGAGGGCACACCAAATCCCTTGGCGCCCAGTTGGAGATTTTACAAAGCTCCTTGCACATACCATGGCCAGTTGGGACTGAAGCTCAATTTCCAGGGCCTGCAGGGTCCGTTTCAGTTCTGTTATCTCACTCCTGGCGGAACTGGCCGCTCCAGCATCAGTGGAGATCTGTGCTTGCAGCGAGGCACTCTAAATAAAAACGAAAAGCAGTCACTGTGGGCTGATGGGCTGACGGGAGTGGCTTCTGCAGGCTTAGCCGCTGCTCAGCGGCAATAATCTACCTGCTTGTGGAACTGCTCCTCGGCCTTGCGGCGGTTTTGCTCAGCCAGCTCCTCATACTGTGCCCGCATGTCGTTCAGTAACTTGGTCAGGTCAGTCCCTGGGGCGGCGTTCATTTCTACCGTCACATCTCCTCCAGAGCTTCTTTGCATGTTCTTCATTTCCTAGCATGAGAGAGAGAGGGGGGGGGGATATCAGAGTGATGAAGACAGAAAAGCAATGGACTCCCTGAAATGCATGGTTGAAATTGAGACGTGGAAGTGGCAAAGCCCCACACCAAATTCAGATATAATAATCTGCTCTTTGTTCTACTTTTTTCCCCTGGTCACAAGAGTTGGAAATCCACCCAGATAGAATTTGTTTTATTTTTACTGAATGGCCCTGGGGCAGGGGGGAAGCAGGGAGGCCGGAGCCATTTGATAACGAGGAACGGGCACCTACCTCCTCGTGGTTCTTCTTCAGGAAGGCCAGCTCCTCCGTGAGGCTCTCGACCTGCACCTGCAGGTCGGAGCGAGTCAGGCCCAGCTGGTCCAGGACCTTCCGCAGGCCGTTGATGTCGGCCTCCACGACCTGCCGGAGGTGCAGCTCACTCTCGTACCTGGAAGGGGCCACAGGAAGACAGTACAGTACACTTCACGGAGCACCTCCATGCTGATGTGTTCAAGAAGGAGTTTTCTCCTCTGAGCTACCTGGTCAACAAAGGCTACTATGTTTTTTTTCCCTTGTAAAAAATATGAGCCTAATGTTAATTCTCTTGATGGCTAATATTGTTTATGACAAAAATTGCATTCTCAATTTGTCTTCTTTTCTTACTGGCGGGATGATGGCTTTTATTTAAAGATTGCATTTGGGATGTTTGTGAATTTAGGTCTTCAACCCCTATAAGATTTTTTAAAAATTTAGAATAATTTAAGCAAACAGATTGAGTTTTACTTTTGCTACATTTGTTTTCAAGTCTCCACTTTTCTTACTTCAGTCTGAAGTCATCAGCAGCCAGCCTGGCATTGTCAATCTGCAAGACGATCCCAGCATTTTCAATAGTGGCAGCAATGATCTAGGAAAGGCAAAAATAATGAATGAATCATGCTTTCTACCTTGCGTCTGCATGCCCACCTGTCTGGGTAGATGCCCCTGAGTCAGCTTTTAAAAGTGAATTGCTTTGAGAACTTGCTTAGTAACGGCACCTGGATTGATAGCCCTGGTGTGTTTGGACTGGATCTTTCTGCAAAAAGGTGACCGTTTGCACAGTATTGGAATAGGCACGGAACATTGTTTTATGGAACACAGCTCCCCTGCATGCTTCTGCTACTTTGGAAGACCAGTCATTCTTTGTGAGCTCATTGAGAAAATCGCGTGGAAAATGAGCTTCACTTCTTAAAAAGTCTTAAAAAATATTTTTTTCCATGAAACTGTGGCAAGAACACTTTAGACCCTACCATATTCTTATATAATATTTGTGCCAGATTTTCTAGAAATAAAAATAGTTGTAAAGACTATTTCAATCTAGCAAGACACTGAAGTATGTCAGCCTGCCAGAATTAATCGTGAGATAGATGAAGCTCGTTTTGCCTCGTTGCCATCACTCCCATATACATGTTAACGAGCTGCCTGCCATCGTATAACATTTTATGTAGAAATACTCGAATCTGAGGTGCAAACGGAAAATTCACCTGGTGGGATGTCACATGCAGCCCTGGCAGAGTTAGCGCACACTGAGGCCCATTTTACGTATCCATCAAGCATGTATGTTGCCAAAAAAATTCTTTGACTTACAGCCTTCATTACAGTACGTGTTCTGAATGAAAGCAAAAGAGATCATAGAAACTCAGCTGTGGAGAGTGTCTTACCTGATTTCTGAGGTCTTCAATGATTGGGTAGTATTTGCTATAATCTCTTCCCGAGCCCCTGTCGCCAGACCCGCACCCATGCTTGTGATACCACTCCTTGATTTTGTCCTCCAGATCACTGTTGGCCTCCTCCAGGGCTCTGACTTTGTCTAGGTAGTTAGCCAGGCGGTCGTTGAGGTTCTGCATGGTTTGCTTTTCATTTCCAGAGAAAAGCCCTCCGTCGCCACCCAAGCTGCAGAAGCCTGCACTAGCACCACCACTGAATCCAGAACCGCCACTGAATCCAGAACCGATACCAAAGGCAGAACCCATACCAAAGGCAGAACCCCTACCCATGCCAACACCAGCGCCTGAACCTCCTCCAAAACCACCTCCTACCGAGCAGCTACCAAAACCCCCTCCAAAGCCACCGCTCAAGCCCCCACTCAGGCCACAGCTGCCAGCTCCTCCTTGGAAGCCCCGGGCAGAGCCGCTCCCCAGCCCACATCTGCTTCCTCTGCTGAAGTTGCTGCCACCAGCAGACACCCTGACCACGCTGCTGCCTCCAGCCTGGGAGGAAGAGGTCCGGGATGAACAAGACATGATGCTCCTGCAAACGTTTAGCTTGTCCAGGAGAACAGGAGGGTAAGGGTGAAGAATGTGTTTGCGGGTTGCCTTTTTGGCCCTTATACATACACTTCTAGGGTGTTCCTTTTCTGCGTCACTTCTTAATCCCTGTTACAGTTTTGCTAAACCACAATTGGATCATTTCTTTTTCCTGGACCCACTCTACTGGCTTTGTTTTTGAAGCTGGGTCAGAGCCTTGGGGCATTTACTATATCAAGGAAAAAAAATAAGGTGGAGCAAAGCAAAAACATTTTTTTTTCAGAATTACAGTTTTAATCTTTCAATGGTTTTAATGACTGATAATTCTTTTTTTGAAGGAGTCATTCTATTATATTTGCTTCATGATTTCCCAATGGCAGGGCACATCCCCGGATTAACAAGTGTCATTAAAATACTTCAGGCGATAAGGGAAATTTCCCGTTGAACTTGTACACTTTGTGTTTGTATTGTTCTCTTAACGTTGCAGCTAGCTTCAGGAGCAGTGTTCGTTTTAGGTGTACTTGTCCTTCTTTATGGTTTCTTTCACTCAGCCTATTTCTGAGGTTGGTGAAATCTGTGATTTTTAGATTACTGTCTTTTTTGCATTTTGAGGTCAAATGAGATATTTTTCAGGTTAATAAAAAAGCAGAAGCAAGTAATAGTCTCCCATGCATGTGTTGTTAGAGCTCTGCAACAAGTTTACGTGAGCAGAGAATGTCCCAGAAAGACTGGAAGGTTTTTTGGCAGGTTGCTTTATCATCAGAGTGAGTGGTCCCTCGTGCCACGCTGCAAAGATGGTGATCTTTCTGATTGAATTTGAATCTGATGTAATGATACCAGCTTCCCTCTTGAGACTCACATCTTACGAAACTAAGATGATGTTGATTTCATGTTCGTTTTAGAGACATCTGAAGAGTGGAACCTGCCTCCCCCTCTGTTAACCAGCGTGATGGAGTCATTTGCAGACATGGAAATCTGGCTTTTCCCCGTCTTTTCTGTTCTGTTTAAAAGATATTTAGAAAAGAGAATCTGTATCCACTTCTGGTAACTAATGTTATGATTGGGGGTCCTTACATAAATACTGAAATCTAGAATCTTCCCCAGTTCACATTTTGCTTCCTGTTTTTCTGTCCCTTTGTGCTTTAGAATTTTCCATTTGCCTCTGCTGGTAGTTTAAAAGTGTGTTGGTGTTTTTAAGATAAATGCTGTATGATTCTACTTATATGAGGTACCTGGTGTTGTCCAATTCAGAGACAGAAGATAGAATGGAGGTTATCAGGGTCGGGGGGGAGTGATTTAATGGGGACAGAGTTTTAGTTTTGCAAGATAAAAATAATTCTAGAAATTGGTTGCCCAGCAGAGTGAAGGCATCTGACACTCCTGAACTATACACTTAAAAATGGCTAAGATGGTAAATTTTGTGTTATGTGTATTTTACCACAATTTTTAAAAGTATCTTTTTATAAAAGTATAGGTGCTTTCAAAAATATTTTTTGACTTTCCTCGCTTTACACCCACGAGTTTGCCGACTTTTGTTTGTTTAAAACTTTCTTCACACTTGGCAAAGTCGGTTAAACCATGAGCACCCAGGAGTGTCCAGCCCGGGGCTCGTGGGCTGCGTGCAGCCCAGGGTGGCTGCGAGTGCGGCCCAACACAAAATCGTCAACTTAAAACCTTTTTTTTGCTCATCAGTGTTTGTGCATTTAATGTGTGGCCCAAGACAACTCTTCCAGTGTGGCCCAGAGATGCCAAAAGTTTGGACACCCTATGTCCTTATATTTGACCATTTTTTTAATGCAATGTTCTGCCTTCTTTAATTTTTCCTTAGACTGCCTTTGATTTGGACACATTATTAAGTCAGCGGCCATTCCCTTTGCTGTGTAGCTCTTCAGGTTACAAGCTTTTCTGTTCTACCTGTACTGTTTTCCCAGCAGGGGGATGTTACCGGGCTTCTTCTTAGGGTGCCATCTCTCCCAGGGGTACAGGTGTCTTACGAACTTCAAATCGTGAAGCTGGGCGTGATTCTGATCACACCCTTCTCAGGCAGCTAAAACATGCACCAACCATCACGGCCTGTCGGTCATCTTGCCTCACCCCTCCCCACAGCCCGAAACCAAAGGAGTCGAAGTGCTAATGATTTAATGGAACGTGAGAGCCAGAGAGGGGAGGGACCACCACTGGGCTTTTCCTTCCGCTTAGCATTACGAAATGGAATCTTTCTACTTCCCTAAGGTCTGTTGCTTGGTAAAAGGAGGTTCAAGAAAGGAAGAGCAGACAAGTGAAAAAAAAATCTAATACAATTTAGAAATTTCTGAGCAGAGGGAGAAGGAACTTCATGTAACAAGATTGAGAAAAGACGTTCAGTAGCGTTGGTGGCTTGAGACTTTTGCCTGGGGTCTGGGGGGTTTTTCTTCAGTGGTCATGGTAGGCATAGCCTTTGCATTTTGGGGGCTTCATTTACCTTGGGATGTGGGATATCTGGACATTTGAGTCTCTGTTGAGGAAGCTTGTGATGACCGAGGTACCCTGTCTTGTGTCTTATTTTATAGCATATCATATTCTTGTTGATATGATTTTATTACATGTAATAACAATTAATATAATTTTAACACCGACATGTCTGTTCTTTGTTTTTTAAAATTCGACTTCAAAATCAAGCTCTTTTGAGATGCTTCTTGCATACTCTGTACTTCAGAGATTACCTCTTAGAAGGGCATTTATTTAGTAAATGAAACAGCCATTACCACCTCAGATTCTTTACCTAGTGAGTCAGTGTTGGAGTCAATGTAGATAGAGGTGAACTCACAGGATTTTCTTGTTTGTGCCAGTATTTCCTTAAAGGCAGTTTCATGCTTTTTTTCTGTGTATCGCATCCTTTTCTTTTTAGTGGTGAATCTGTCATAAACGGACTAATGTCAGTTCTGTGATTTGCAAACCACCCAGAACAGCGATTTGCAACCCTCGTGCCACAAGCATTTTTAAAACACGTACTACGTTTAGTCAGGGGCACTGGCCTCTTTTTTCCTTAGACTATCAAATTAAAAAAAAATGACAACAGCCACCACCACAACAGTGGTCCAGTGTAAATGAATCAAAATGGTACTTATTTTTTGTCACATTGGCCAGAAATATATTTTCTGATGGGCTGCAGAACTTTAGTAATTAGTGTATGGGTGCCATGAGATGACATAGGTTGACGATCAGTTGTCTAGCACGTTGACGTTCAGTGGATAAAAGGATTTTAATCACACACATAAATACAACTCTGTTCTGGCCCGCAGTGTTAGAATTCGTTTGCTTCTTTTTTTCCCCCCTTCTTTATTGTGTTAGAATTCTTTAGTAAGCATTGGTCCTGATTGTTCTGAGACATACCCACATTTAATACTCTCTTTTATTTGAAATAATGATTTGCCAACGTTCACAAGTTCGTTTTCGGTGTTCCTTTCATCTGTAAAAGGAAAGCTTCGAGAATCTGGTGAGATTCCAGTGGAAAAAATATCGTTGAGAAAAGCCGGCCTTGGGGCCTGGCATCCAGGAGTTCTAAATATGGAAATTCAAAGGAAATGGGCTGGACCGCAGGTCTGCACTCCCACTCCAGTGCTGCCCTCAGTGACTCGCTGTTCTGGATGGTTCGTTATTAGCAGTTTACTTTTACCTACAGAGAACTTCACTGTAGAATATGACTTTTGCGGTAAATGCAGAATTGTTGCCGGGGAGACCTGAGGCCGGGGACTCCTCCTCGGTTATTGCCTCACTCGCAAGAGAAGAATTCAGACGAGAGACCACACCTGTAGTAGAAATAAGATAATATGTTTATGTATGAAATACACTTTAGCAGGAGGCTGCAAGCAGGCACCCAGCTAGTCTGAGTGCCCCGACGATTGGGATTTTAGGGGTTTTATGACTGTAGCCAGCTTCTACAGTAGGTTCCACTCTGTCTTCTCCACACCTCCCAGCCCCCCAGACTTTGGGATAAATGCAGAGTTTCAAAGCCTTTCTTTCCCAGATAAAGGACTCGATACATACAGAATTTCAAGGGCTTCCTTCCTCCTGTGCTATCATGGTTTTTCTCGTGATTTTTGGCACACCTAGCGGTATTATTGAACCAGGCTCAGGACTGCTGGGTTAATGGGTGAGACCTGTCTCCCTCCCACTCCCTGCCTTGGCTTACTATCTATCCTGCCTAGCAGAACGATTTGCAAATATTAACCATCAACATTTTTGTGAGATAAATCATCAGAATGTTTAAACTATTAGATTAATATATTAATATATTTTTAGATTATCAGTAAAATAAAATAATGGAAAAATATGGCATTTGGTCCCTGATTAATCTTTAGCATTGAGAATAGAATGGACTTGGGAATTCTAACTTCTGTTCACTCTAGAGGATATTCTGTTATTTTTCACGTAAAAGCATGAGATCAGAATAGTTAGGGGAAGTAACTGGGCGTAGAGTGTTTGTGGAGTGTTGGCAGAGGTCTCCGTGGCAGATGGTATGGGAAAGGAAAAGATCCAGTTTGATGTGTTCACAGCCACTTTATAACACCAGCATGTTGTAGGTAGATAAGCAACTGTCCTCAAATTAGCAAAAAACAACACGGCTTGCCTTACTTCACGAACACCTTGGGTCACTGATTGCTTCCGTCCTTTATTATGTGTTCTGTCTTCTAACCCTTTATTCTCCACCTTTTGGGTTTGTGATTCTGTGTGTGTGTGTGTGTGTGTGTGTGTGTGTGTGTGTGTTAGAGGGGCTGTTTGTGAAAGGAGGTATTGTCTGGGGACGGTGCAGGGAAGGTCAGGCCAGAATCAGCTGGGGACTTCCCTGCAGAGAATCATCGTTTAGGTCAGTGTCCTGATGGTGGCCCCTGTGAGCCTCACTAGCCTCAACTACCTGAAGGAAAAACCAGAATTTGCAGCAATGCGTGTCCTGAGAAACCGCTCCCAGTGCATTGGGCTCCATCCACAAATCAGGTTCAGTCCTGTGCTGCTGCCAGACACCGAAGGAGCTACAAACTCTACAGAACCAGAGCTGAGATGTGCCGGTTCTGGGACTGTTTCTCTTCCTTCACTCTT